TCTTAGGCATCACACCCCCTATTCTTATATTATTTTCATGAATAAAAAGGACCGAATGTGAAGTTGAATCGTGGAATTTGTGTGTTGTTCATTGAAAAATGTATACAATACATGAACGAGAAGCAAGGCTCTACAAAAAAACTTCACATCATCTTCGAAACTCATTAATAACAAGTAATCTACTAAGCATTTAACAGGTCTGACACTAGTGCTTGCAAGTTTTAACAGCAGAAAGATGATATATACGATACAAACATCGTATATTTGGCATTATCCAGTGAGTGCGAACACCAGAATAAATCGGTCACCTGCTATGGAATGCAGTTTAGCCACTAACTGTACGACGAGAAGCATATCCTGTATCTTTTGTACTCGCTAGGACTTGTGCATAAAACAGTGAGCTTACCAGCACAAATATTAGTACGGAGTCTTTTTCTGTGCAGTAAGTTCATGAAGAAGTTAAGCAAACTGGCCAATAGGCGCGCGCCTCGTACCTGTCAGCTGGCCAATAGGCGCGCGCCTCGTACCTGTCAGCTGGCCAATAGGCGCGTGCCTCGTACCTGTCAGCTGGCCAATAGGCGCGCACCTCGTACCTGTCAGCTGGCCAATAGGCGTGCCTCGTACCTGTCAGCTGGCCAATAGGCGCGCACCTCGTACCTGTCAGCTGGCCAATAGGCGCGCACCTCGTACCTGTCAGCTGGCCAATAGGCGCGTGCCTCGTACCTGTCAGCTGGCCAATAGGCGCGTGCCTCGTACCTGTCAGCTGGCCAATAGGCGCGCGCCTCGTACCTGTCAGCTGGCCAATAGCCGCGCGCCTCGTACCTGTCAGCTGACCAATAGGCGCGTGCCTCGTACCTGTCAGCTGGCCAATAGGCGCGTGCCTCGTACCTGTCAGCTGGCCAATAGGCGCGCGCCTCGTACCTGTCAGCTGGCCAATAGGCGAGTGCCTCGTACCTGTCAGGTGGCCAATAGGCGCGCGCCTCGTACCTGTGAGCTGGCCAATAGGCGCGCGCCTCGTACCTGTCAGCTGGCCAATAGGCGCGTGCTGCGCTGACGTAATGGGTATGGTGGCAACACCGAAGTTCTCGTTGAGGTTGGAGGGCAGGAGGTGGGAGCAGCCGATGTGTCGGGGTATCTCCCCCAGGGGGCCGTCAAGATAGTAGTCGAAGAGGTAAGCCTGCAACAAACCGTGCGTTAACTTGTCTCTGTATCAACATGACTTCAATACAACGATGATATCATGGTATCACTCAAGGCAACAACTGCATCCCATTCATGAACATGCACTGGATAGTAACATAAAACCCCCCTTGTAAGTTTTCTTCCAAAATACGTTTACAGAATAATTACTACATTACTACAGAATTACTGATGGCTACTCAAAACACACTAACGTGAGTGAGAATATGACTCATGAAGACACAGTCTCCATGGGGACCAAAGAACATGACCCAACACAGCAAATCCCGTGAAACACAAACGCGTTACAGGAAGAGTCATTACCAGCACCACATGCACGTTGTTGTTACGTTCAACTTATAACGGCCTAACCCTTCAAACGTGAACAAGAGAACAAAAAATTACCGGGGGAGCTGAGACCACAACAGAACCTCTAAGGTTTCGATGGACAACCATTGCACCCAGGCTATAACATTGCGCAATGTATCTTTACTGCATGGATAAAAACATAATAATAACATATGAATAAAAAAACGCATAAAATCGTATTTATTCAGGTCTAGCTTAACAGTTAGGTAGGATATAAGCACAAGAAGTTATTGTGGATGTCCGTACCTGAATATTATGTTACACATGAAATGGCAGTAGAAGCTAGAAGAGGGAGCAGTCGTTGCGGGGCTCTGGAGAGCAGCAACAAAAACCTCTCTAATTTCCATGTTTAAATGAAGCGTCGTAACACAGTCATCGTTGCCAACAAAGTAGGAACATAATTCTGAGAGTATGTCTTTGTAGTTGCATTGAGACACGACTTCTCTGCAACCATGAGCTGAGTCAATGAAGCAATACAAGAATATTGTCATTTTCAGGGCTGGAAGTCACCAAAGTTTCGTCAAAACGTTTTAAGTTCATTAAGCTCCTTACTGGGAGATTGATAGATATGAACAAGGCGAACTCTTTACGTTCTTTGCAATTAGTTTCGTAACTGGACGTTGTCAGAGACGTAAAGGAGAATAAGTTGTGTTGTTGGCTTGGGTTAAGCAGGAAACTGAGGAGGCGCGCAGCAAAGGTCCAGCTGCAAGTTAGGAGAGGTGAATGCATGTTGTTCCATGGGCCGAGACGAGAGCCGCTTCATCCATGGTGGTCTGTAATACTCACCAAACAAGAAGGCAAATAAGAACCTCCTGCCGCAACACTCCACAATCTATTAGTCAGGGAACAAAAACTAAGAATTAATTAACGCCAAAATTTGGAATGTCAATGAGATTAGAAATGAATTCGTGTTTAGAAGCAGTCAAATAATGGGACAAACCGAGATTATCAGATTTAAATTAATCTGTTAATCAGCTATTAAGTCTGGTCAATAATTAGAAGGAAAAGACCATGAACAAGAGGGATGGGGTTTGGAACGGTATGAAGTTGAGGGCAAAGCTTAAACTTTGCGTAGGTAGTCTCTTCACACAATATCACACTAATCTTCATTGAATTTCCAAATGAAAAACAACATAATTTCTTTCAAAGATATTTCAAAAACGCACCAAAAGATCATAAGTGCAAAAGGTCGAGGACATATCTGTGGTCCATAAGATAAGTAAACTCTCATACGCAAAGGGAGCTGCGGTCCATTGCAATGCTCAGGCTACGGCCAACTGGATAATTGCGGCTTTTAAGCAACATAGTGAATAGAACTCATAAGAAAACCCGAGCAACATAGTGAATAGAATTTTATAAGAAAACCCGAAACCTTGCGTAGCATTTAAATATAGTGCATCGCAATCGCAGAATAAAGTGTTAGAAAAAACTATCGATGTGCACAGCCGCGTATCATCACATTGGCCTAGCCCAGAAAGTGTTGCAAGAAGGCTTGCAGCGCTGTTCATTAAAAATTAATAAGAACTCTGCATTGTAAGTTTTCTAATGATTTAACCGATACCCCTACAGATAAATTACATAGTAAAGACGATCAGAAGAACGCTTTACATTTTCCATGTAAGGAACATGCACGCGAGACATGACAGCAAGCTCCCTGAGACTCCTGGCGACCTCGTCATCAGGGCAAAGGCTCAATTGTACAGGTGGATGATATGTCTTGCTGTCGCTCTCACCATTCTAGGGAATGTTCTGTTGACATGGCAGAGTGTACAGGGGACATTCTAGGGTATGGTCTGTAGGTGTTGACATGGCAGAGTGTACAGGGACATTCTAGGGAATGTTCTGTAGGTGTTGACATGGCAGAGTGTACAGGGACATTCTAGGGAATGTTCTGTAGGTGTTGACATGGCAGAGTGTACAGGGACATTCTAGGGACTGGTCTGTTGTGTTGACATGGCAGAGTGTACAGGGGACATTCTAGGGACTGGTCTGTTGTGCTGACATGGCAGAGTGTACAGGGGACATTCTAGGGACTGGTCTGTTGTGCTGACATGGCAGAGTGTACAGGGGACATTCTAGGGACTGGTCTGTTGTGCTGACATGGCAGAGTGTACAGGGAACATTCTAGGGAATGTTCTGTTGTGCTGACATGGCAGAGTGTACAGGGGACTTTCTAGGGACTGGTCTGTTGTGCTGACATGGCAGAATGTACCCAGGGAACTGCCGCAACGCATGGGGAGATTCTTACCTTTGTTCGTATCAAGAGTTCCAATAATGAGTACAAACTACAATACAGATGCAGTAGAATGACGATAACTATAGCCCCACACTTTGCACCTGCTAAGTCAGCAATTTCCCGCACGCAGCCCTCATTCTCTATGTCTGCACTAGTGCTCTTAGTAATAGAGGTGGTAATAAATAGGCGGCATACACAGCAAATAGTGTTAGTAAGCCAAGAGGAAATTAAAGCGAGTTTTGTGAGAGAGACTCACGATAGAGTTGGGGTTGATGACGCGGCACTGGAACGTGGTGAAGACCTCCTCGTTGAAGACCAGACCGAACTGCTCCTGTCGCGTGAACGTACACGTGTCTTCTGCCAGCACCTTGGGGGTACATAGATTTATTTTACTTTAAGATAAATTAAATTTGTGGTAAACTCACACCCATACGACATATTATAATAAATACAGAGCAGTTACATTAATTTATCTCAAACGTAAGCCAGTGTAGTGAGGGACATTTCATGCGCCATGCAAGGCAGCAAGGGTTGCCTGCTATCAGTCATTATAAATACCAATATCTGATGTTCAGCTTTAGATTAAAAATAACGCATCGACTAAACCACGGTAGAGATTAATCAACTTTCTCCGAAATGTTCCCATAAGTGTGAGTACGTACACTTTTACATTATAATTTATCCAAGACCTTTTCAGATTGCGTTGAAGCTGACAACTTTTATAATTTATTGTTCAAAGTTTAGTAAACTATCAACTGCTTTCATGCGATCAACTTAGAACAATTTAATTATCAAAAAAATCTAACTGAAACTGTTCGGGAGGTAAGATGAGGTTATATTAACTGCTCCACAGGTTAAGTCAAGTTATACCATCAGTTCAGGAGGTAAGATGATGTCATGCTAATAAGGAATTTACAAGCAAAGAAAACGACAAGCAAATTCACCATTTCGATATCGAAAACGTTTTCAATATCGATATGGTGAATTTGCTTGGCTTTTTTGATTTTAAATTCCTTGTGAACTTGCGATATAAGCAGACTGATAATAGTTTTTACTATTTTACTATTTTTTACTAAAGTTTTACTAACAGTTTTAAACGACAGGTCCGTTTTACATTCTAGACCCTAGGTTAATAGTATATACATCTGGCTCAAAAGCTTTTCTCGTTGGTTTCTATGTACTTTCTGTTTGTTTTAAATAGGATGTAAATTTGTAAGATTGCTCTAGAATAAAATATAATTTAGTTTGAGATATACAGTCGTGCAGAATGAACGATATTTTTACGTGTGACGGTGGACCTAACCTAACCTGTGTTTCCACGTATTATTTCGTTAGGCTGGAATATGATGCGTTAGTTTAATTTTGCAAAATTATTCACTTGTTTGTATGCATGGAAGCCTCAAGTCTCCCAAGATGCACTTTGCTCACAGTGAAATATTCATAGATTAGCGCATTTTACTTTCATAGCTTCTGCGTATTAAATTTTATTTGGACAGAACAAGACTTTCACTTCTATCAACAGTTCAGACAAAACTACCGGGCCCCAAGAATATAACTTGATGAAGAGGTTATGCTAGATTATACCACCTGTTCTATATGTTAGGTGCGGCCGTTCTTAATGCAGATATGGCTTGCTTTGTCAGGTTGAATAAACTGTTAAACAGGCTCGGTCAGGTGCAACAAACTGCTGTACAGACTCAGTCAGGTCCAACAAACTGCTGTACAGGCTCGGTCAGGTCCAACAAACTGCTGTACAGGCTCGGTCAGGTCCAACAAACTGCTGTACAGGCTCGGTCAGGCCCAACAAACTGCTGTACAGGCTCGGTCAGGCCCAACAAACTGCTGTACAGGCTCAGTCAGGTCCAACAAACTGCTGTACAGGCTCGGTCAGGTCCAACAAACTGCTGTACAGGCTCGGTCAGGTCCAACACACTGCCAGGTATACTGACCGCGACCTCTACAAGAGGCCAGGCTGAGGTCTTAAGAGCGGCCCGGGAGTCGCCGTGGTCTGTGGTTGAGTCGTCCAGTTGCCCCTCAGTATTGAGCTCCAGAGGCGTTACCTTCACACGTACCTTAAAAAAGAACAACTTTATTCCAACAGTACAACAATCAAAGCAATAAGATAGGAAGAATCCAGCACAGACATAATACAACAATTATGGGCTGTCACTTTTACTGCTAGAGAATAGTGGTTACCCTGGTCCTCCTTGGGGTAGTAGCAATACCCCAGGCTCAGCTCCGTGTTGATGTTTAGTTAGGTTGAATATTGACATTCATATTGAATATTACTCATTTGTATTGTCAGCGCTCTCCATCTCATTCTCTTTGCATTTTTGCAGACCGATATTTCATGGGTCAGAGTGGGGGATTCAACACTCATTCAAACTCACACTTACTGCCTGTGTTTGGTGAGTAGTTGCCAATGGATACAGTATATACAGGAGTTGAAGTTAGACAAAGTAAGGGAAACACCTGAGAAGTCCACAGAATATATTTGAGTGTAGTGTAGGTCCACCTTTTGCGGCAAATTAAAGCTTCAATTCTCCGAGGTATTGATTCATACAAATTGTGAATTGATTCCAATGGAATTTTAACCTATTCTTCAGTTAAAACTCCCTCCAGCTCTTTTAAAGTGGAAATCGACTCCTGAAGTGCATCTCTAAAATTGACCATAAATGCTCGATAATATTCAGGCCTGGTGATTGTGGTGGCCAAATGAGATGCTCAACTTCATAAGAATGTTCCTCGTGCCATTTTTCAACAATTCAGCTGTATGGATCGAGGCATTCTCGATTTGGAAAAATGGCGTTCCCTTACGGAAACAGTGCTTGAGCCATTGGATGAACTTGGTCCTCCAAAATTCCTAAATATTCACGGCTGTTGATTCTTCCATGAAGAGAAATCATTGGTCCGCCTGATTTCCAAGAAATAGCACCCAAGATCATCACAGATCCCTTGCCATGTTATCCGGTTGGCAGGAGGCAGTCAGGATTACATGACTCTTTTTCTCCAAACGTAAACTCTGCCAGAGGTTGGAAATAAGGTAAACGATGATTCATCAGAGAAAATAACATTTTTTCACTGCTTGAGGGTCAAATTCTGGAGGTTTTTTACACCACTCTAAACCTTTTGAAGCATTTGTATATGAAACAAGAGGTTTTCTAATTGCAGCTCTTCTATAGAAGTCAGATCTGTGCAGCTCTCGGCGGACAGCATGAAAACTGGGTTCTGTAGGTGTCCATTGAGGTCTGGAGTAATTTTAACAGTCGAGGTCTTTTGATTGTCCCTCAAAATTTGATTTAGGTACCGAGGGTCTCTCTCAGACAACTTCGACTTACGGTTAGACCTGTGCTTTGCTGAGGACGTCTTTCCTTCTCTTTTTAAAGTAGTCATTACTTTTGAGACAGTACCACTAGAAATGGCAAGCATTTGGGAAGTTTCTTAAGTTTAAGTCTTAAGTTAAGTTCAGTTATATGAAGATCCCAATTAGGTTTAAATTTCAAGTTCCTTAATAATTACCTAGGTTTTGTATCAATAAATAAAGTTGAACAAAAGAGAAAAGAACCACTAGGTGGATGAAGATGTCTATAAGGGAAGTTGGGAGGCCATCTTTCATTTATCCTCTTGGATTACACAGAACCTTGAATGCCTTCCCATTTTTAACAAATAAAGACGACCCATTACACCAGGCCTATAATGAACAGCATATAAGAGCATTACGTCAGCAAATGCAGCACCACATAAAAATGTCAGTGAAGTAGCTCAGGAAGTTTCTTTGAAATTTTATATTTTCATACAAAGAATTCAGTATTATGAGAATATAAATAGAATGGTGTTGGTAGCTCTAGATCAAACAGAAGAATGATATATAATTATGAACAAATTAGAACAATTGGAAGAAGAGAATAAAGTAGGAGCACAATTACCTTGCTGTCTTTGTACTTCTTGCGCCAGAAGGTGATGGGTCGAGCATGGTTCTTAGAGAGACAAAGCTTCAGTTGCACGGCACTGTCATACACCAGCCAACCAGACTCCAACTTGAACTGTCCAAGGCTTACACCAAACTGGCTGATTGTTTCTTCTGCAAATACATTATGGTTAAATAAGTTAGCTAACACGCCCATTAATAACAAAGAATTATTTTCTAAATGCAGCATTTCATTTTATTGCATGCGGAGTACATACTGCGAAATAGATAAAGACTAATGTCCATCTTCACACTTGTTATAATGTATGCAAGATGACCTAATAAGGGAGTTATAGAGGCCATACCTGCAGGGTCATGCAGAACATTAGCAGGGATGATGCGTGGGATGAAGTGCGTCTCCCACCAACGTATTGCATACACGGGCTCCTTGAGACTGGCATCCGAGGCTTGCACAGCCACACAGAACCGGTACTCAACCTAAACAATCAATGCTTGCAGTTAGCTTCTAACAATATGTAGTCTTCAATGGTGATAAATAATTATGCATTTAGGAATATTGTTTTATCATCTACTGCAGCATCTGATTACGCATCTACCTTTCCATCACACTAAAAAGGTACTGTAAAAGGAACTGACTTGGGCCATTATTAGAGCTTATTTTTTTGTGATACAAATAGTCAAAGAGTAAATATGTAAATATACCTATATCTTTATTGCATTTGTAGGCTATCTCATGGTACTTCAAGAGCCAACACAAATTTTCTAAGGCAAGAACTTCTTGAGTAGCTAGGGTTTTCTTTTCTCAGAGTCAAAATAGTTCAAATCACCCTGTTTTATGGTAATATAAAATATCAGAAGAGGGTTTAGAGTACAGCATTCAGTTGAAAACAGTACCTGTTCAGGTGGAAGTTCCATTGTTATGGTCCATAAAGTTTCTTCATCTGCTGCAGCCTCTTCATGCGAGTCAACGGAAGACTCCCAAGTGAGAGACGAGGCGTCATCTCCACCGCTGGGAACCTTCTGCAGGGCTACGATTTGACGAGGGTTCCAAGCTCCCAGCTCAGCACATGACCCAACAATGCACACCTAGACATCATCAACATCATCTTTATCCAAATTTTAATTAGAAAATACCATCCATGGCATGTATTTTACAAAATTACATCCAAATTTCTTCAATAACTAAATTTGTAGACCTAAACCTGATAAAAACAGCCTTGACAAATTCTTCATATCAAAAATAATAACAAGTATCTATACATATACCTATAGCCTATAGGGTAGTATCTACAACCATTTCTGGCCATCTTGAAATTAAGCAAGCACCATCCAATGATTAGTTTACAAATGAAATTACAATTACTCCATTTATAAAAATCTGTGCAGGTACACATGGGGTGAACTGCATGACAAAATCAAAATTTATCTTCTGACTGCCATCACATGTTGGAGACCCCACAGCTCAACCCAACAACCTAACACAAAACACCTTCACAGTTCAACCCAACTCTGTCAAGCAACAACCTGGCACAAAACACCTTCACATCTCAACCCAACTCTGTCAAGCAACAACCTGGCACAAAACACCTTCACAGTTCAACTCAACTCTGTTATAATAATATAATAGCGGTTTCAGCGTTTATTAGGCCGTAGGCCTGTTGCTGATTCTTAACATCGCTGAACATCCACAGCTTCTTGCGGTCTCGAACTCGCAGCTCACTGCTTCAATTTTGCTTTGCTTAACCGCCCGGCCTCCTTGCCGATTCTGACCAGAAACTGGCGCATAGAGCTGGGATCGAACCCGCGCCTCTCTGCTCCAATCCTGGTACTCTGAACTGTAGCAACAACCTAACACAAAACACCTTCACAGCTCAACCCAACTCTGTCAGGCAACAACCTAACACAAAACTCCTTCACAGCTCAACCCAACTCTGTCAAGCAACAACCTAACACAAAACTCCATCACAGCTCAACCCAACTCTGTTGAGCAACAAGCACCAAGTACAGTAATCAAGGCAACGCCCTAGCTAGGAGGCAAGTCCATTATTTATTTTACTCAATTTGAAATAAATTGATGCATATACAATATGCTTAAATGTATTCCAATAAAAAAGTTAAGTATTTACAGAAAAAGTTCAATTAATCCAATAATGTAATATAAAATAATGTTGTACAAAATTATCCATGTGACAGAGAACATTTTTGAGAAAATGCTGGTGATTGAGAAATAACCAGCATGCATATTAGAATGAATAATGCATAAAATAACTGGAACAACACCTTTAAAGAATATGCCATGGAATTTGAAATAAATGGGCTATTTGAAATATCTTCTAAATAATCATGATCAGATCCAGCCAAAAAAATTATCTAAAATTACATGATGCAGGCCGCATAAAAAGGCCCAGTAATAAACTCTCTTGAATATTTCTTGGGCTTTCTTTTCCCCCCATCATTTTCCTATATTTCACTTCAATAATATACATATAATTGCTGGGAGCTTTACTGTACAACTCCAACCAGTTATTGGAGTTGTATGGTGCACAAGCTAAAAAACTGTACTAAAAAATTAATTAGCAATTTATTTGTCTTATCTGGTTTATTTATCATTCACTACCAGCAACAAGTTCATGAGTTACACATACAAATTTGATGAAACTGAATTAATGCATTGTGCTAGGAAAAAAAGGAAATGAGCTTCATAACTAATGTATATCAAAGTGAATATATCATTTGATTGTGTAATCAAACAGAACAAATAACTTACCACTTCATTGACGCTGGTTTTAGCAGCAACAGTAAAAACCCACTGCCTATTCTTTATCATACTGACAAATGTTTTGCCTGTATATATATTCTCAGTTCAATAACATATTCATATGAATGATGTGCAAAACAAATATTAAAACCTCTGTAAAATATTGGACTATAAACAAACAATTTTGAAAGTTAGAACACTTGGAAGTTTTCTCAATTAAAACAGGTGGATTTCAATCCAAATTTCAATTTCTGAGGAAAGTATATACATAAGAGGTAGTAATACAAAACAATCACAATCATTTATTATCAGTCTAGTTCTCATACAACCCAAATTTACACATTCAACAATACATTGTAACAAATGAAATTAAAAAACATTTGCCTAAATATCAGACATATCAACATTTGCCTAAATATTATTTAAGTCATCTGCTTGTCTATAAGAAAAAAATATATATTTTGGTAATAGATTTAAATTCAAACATACTAGTAAGATTTCAATGGCTTGGAAATTTCAAAGTGGTAATTTAATGACATAAATCATGGTTTTGAACTTCTGACTAATATTAAATTGTTTTATATGAAAAATGGCCAGGTAACTCTAGAACTCAAATGTGGGACCCACTATGCAGAGTTTTTTCAGAATAGAGTCACAGAGCAGGTTTAAATTGTTCAAATGAATCAGCCTAGTGATTAGACCAGCAGGCTGGAATTGTAGAGGGTATTACATTAACCAGTTGTTGCAGTTGTTGGCTTGAAGGTGAACATATACGCCAAACGATGTCCTCATGTTACACCTGGGCTCAGCAGAATATACTTGGGAAGTTTCAGTATTGTTTCAAAGATTCTTGGATACTTTACCAGGCGGCCTTAAGGCTTTACATCAGAGCTTAAACCAAGGCAGCACTTGTGCACCACAGAGTAGCCAGGTGATTTGTTTGCATTAAATAGGTAGTGATTGTTAATCATATTAATACATGTTAAACATTTCAGTAAAAGTTGTCTCCTCCAAGGAGTATAGGCCAGTATAGAGATGAGAAAGAGAAAATAAGTTAGCCAGATAAGAGTTATGCAGTGAGAAAGTAACCCAGTATAGATTTGTCTCACAACAAGCTCCAGAGCATGTAATATGACAATTAATTCAGCCTACAGGATTTTAAAAGCAAAGAAAACAGCCAGAATATTAACCATTTCTTAAGAATGAAAACGTTTCGGAGTCCAGCTCCATCGTCAGTTCAAAAGTTCAAAACCTATAAGAAAGTAAGAATCAATTAGAAAACTAAATTCACATCGAAGATAAAAACATAAATTGACAAAATAAAGAACAAATACACATAGGGAGACAGGCCTATCTATTTACAATTTCAAGGGGATAGGAGCTGAAGGCTGCATTTAAACCAGGTTTCTGTTTAAAAATGTACAGGGATTCTAAAATCCGTAGGTCAGTAACACCGGTCGTGTAAGCTAGAACTCTGAAATCACTATCAAACACCGGAACATTGCACTGCTCGGCATGGACACGCACAGCTGAATGAGGAGGATGCGCAAGTATTGTTCCCGTTCTAAAGCTTCTGCCCTTATGCTCCGCCAGCCTAGTGTAAAAATTGCGAGACGTCATACCGACGTACGCTGATGCGCACTGCGCACAACTGTATCTATATACTAGGGACGAACGCATAAACAGAGGTAACTATTGATATCTTTATACTTGAAAAACGAACCGATTTTGAAGTTATTCACCAATAGCACCTGCAGATTTACATTCGGAAGATATTTATTGATCAAATCTTTCAATTCCCTAGCCATAGTCTCAGATGCTTTACCAAAGTAGGGAAAAGAACAATAAATCAGGTTCCTACTGTCACAATCGGGAACAACTTCATTATATTGCCTTGACATGAATTTCTTAATTTGACTATAAATCAGTTGCAATGGAAACCCATTTAAAGAAAAAATGCTGCGCAAAAACTCAAATTCAGTGTGCATAGCATTGAAAGTTGAACAAATACGGAAGCCACGATTTAATAATGTTTTAATCCCATTTAATTTAAAACGAAATGAGCAAAAACTAAAAAAGCTGGTGTTTAAACCGGTAAACGTTTGCTTTCTGAACACAGAGGTTTGGAAACGGCCATTAAATTTTGTAACATTACAATCAAGAAAAGACAAACTATTGTTGGTTTCAAGCTCCATGGTGAATTTTATTGACTGATGTTGGAGGTTCAGATAATCAAAGAAAAGGGCCACATGAGAAGGATGCTTGAACAGTAAAAAAGTATCATCGACATATCGGTTATAAAAAACAGGTTTAAAATCAAGAGGACAATTATTCTTTATTTTGTCAATTTATGTTTTTATCTTCGATGTGAATTTAGTTTTCTAATTGATTCTTACTTTCTTATAGGTTTTGAACTTTTGAACTGACAATGGAGCTGGACTCCGAAACGTTTTCATTCTTATGAAATGGTTAATATTCTGGCTGTTTTCTTTGCTTTTAAATTCCTGGTAAACTTGCGACTTAAGCAATCTAGTAATTTTTGAGCCTACAGGATGCCATGCATGTGGTTAAGCCTCCATGCAACTGCTCCTGTGACGGTATATACAAACCACAGGCTGTAGGTGGACTGTTTGTCAATTGCAGCCCATCACTGAGTATTGTCTTGGACCCAGGATAATGTTCCCTAACATGAGCAGCAAACAAGTCAACTCAGCTTTCCCCGATTGGCGATTGCGATAATGTCCATACTCCATTTCACTGGTGATTCAAACGTTTGACTGTATGGCGCGTCAGCTGAATGACCTGCTTAAACTGCTGTCCACCTTCAGCATGGTTTGTCACAAGACCTTGATGATGCACATCATGGGTTGACTGCTGGGTTGATGCAAAAAAATTGCCAAGCTGTGAGGGTGTTTTCATCTACAAGACCAAGCTGACTGGTGCACTAAATGACCTCATTCCTGGACGCACATTTTGGGTCCTCCAACAAGTCTCTGACCCACAGTTAGATGATGAATGTTGGTTTAAAAGTGGGGGAGGGGTTAAATGGTACAACAGGCTGTCTAATTGGCAAACAGACATGTAGATAATGCTGCTGAGGCCTTCATCTGGCAAGATGCATGGTCATCCTGGAAGAAAGATGACCATGCATTTTTTTCTTTCTTTCCATGCTTGGAAAGAAAGTCATCTTGGTAGCAGAGAGTCAGTGCGGAACATAGTAACCCTCAAGCTCTTTGGCATTTGCCAGATAAACTTACAGGAAGGGGCCTACATACACAGTGCCAACAGCCAACTTGAAAATTAGACAAAAGCTACCCATGATAGAGATGAAAAAAGCCAAGCCAATAAACCACTTGGACTGATCAGACGCTCTTACAAGTACATAAATGCAGAAGCGATGAAGCTGTTGTTTGTCAGCTGCATAGTGGCAAACCAGCAAATTTTTAGAATCAGATCATTTTTAATTTTCTCATTGACTCAAGATTTAAAACAATATCTTATGATGTATGATGATGCTGTTATCCATGACCATGATACTCCACACTCAGGATGATGTATGTTTTCGGTGAATTTTCCCGCGCATTTTCACTTTTTTTAAGCTATTGCTGTGCTCAGTTGGCGCAATGTAATGAAAATTGATTCTCTTCGCGCACATGTTCGCGCAATCCCGGCCATTAATTCTACGTCGCGCTGCCGCGCACAAGCAGTATGTGGAGGAACAGACGTAATACTCACATTACTCAGTACAGTATGCCTTAAATTATCTTTCAATAATATATGATTTTTCTTGGTACGGAAATTTGGTGAATGAGAAATCTAGAACTTTATTTTAGAAGAAATTTTCTCCAAAGTCATATGGCAACACTGAACACCGTCTGTTTACATTTCGTATGTATAATAGCCGCAGTTTACGATTATCGTACGTTCCGTATCCGACAAGGCGGACAAGCGGAAGAGTCAGAAGTAACCCGGACATGTCTTACATTTTATTATTGTCAGTTCGACTCGCGTAGTCAATATACTCGCATATATTGTCGACTAAAATAGTAAAACTATTTTAGCTTTCTAAAGTACAGCGCACGGTGCATTTTTTTTACCAGCATAGTACGGCGCACTGCGCAGGTCGTTAAAATGACAAAATAAATTTCCGCGCATCTGGCACATCTTCCTGACCATGCATGATACTTTGCTGATCTGACTTAAAATTAAACTTGAAGGCAAGTCTAAAAAATATCTGCATTGCCACTATGGTTGGCTGTTGCTGTCATGCGTCCAAGCCTAGAGTTTGGAAATGCAGTTACAGTGTGGTCACCAAAACTAGAAAAAGACAGAAATTGAATCAAGAATGTTCAAGACTTGCAACAAGGATAATTCTGGGATTAAAAGGCAAGCCTTATGAAGAAAGATCAAAGATTATGAAGCTTCCAAGCCTCCATTATTGACATCTGCCTTGTGCCTGGTGAGATTGAATTGAACTTATTGAAGTAGGCCTTATAGGCATACATGTATTATTATTATTAATGTTTAATGATGTATACGCCAGGATTGGAATTTTCCTACTTTTTTCTGAAATCTCGCAGCTCCAATGTGACAAATTTTTAATACAATTGGAATCTTGCGGCCCGATTGTGCACTTTAGTTAACAATTAGATAGAAGCCCAGAACTCAGAAGGTAATTCAGTAATTCACCTGGCAGAAATCTTACAGTTCCAGAAATTGGAGGAAAGCTCTAGTTGCAGCTCTAAAGGTTGATGTTTCCCACACTTGAGTTAGTTAAGTATACCCAGTCCCATGGTAATAATGATATATAAGTTATGCACATTACAGTTATCAGTATTGGCTAAAAGAATCAGGTGGCAGAATCCACGGCATGGTTTATATTTTATAAAACTAAAAGGTCTTAGGTTTACTGGAATACAAAACAAGAACCAACACCAGGAGCCAATGGCCATGGCCATAATCTAAAAACTGCATTGTAACACAATAGCAGTCAATTTTACGGCTTCCCTAGCCTAATTTTTTGGTAAAAGAATGAGAGAAAACCAGCAGATTTATGCCCATGAAGCAGCCCTAGTTTAGAAAATTGCTGTTAATGATTGTGTCAAACAGTCAACCCATGATTTTAGGAAAATTCGGGGTTGCATAAAAATTAATTCTTTATCTTATTCTGAAAAATTCAAAAATAAAACGTTGCTCAATTTTTTCTAATGAAGCGTGATTGATATCCTATTGTGTGCTGTGTTTACTACTGTACTACAGAAATCCTCTAGCATTGCCAACAACAGTTGTCCAGTCTACCGGACAGTCGTGACGCAATGTAGTCCTGTAGAATCCTAGCGCAGCACATGCGTACCTCCCTTACCAACATACAAAGCATGACTGACAGGCTATATAGGTGCGACGTATATTCAAGAATCGAGTACGAGTACGTTAATTAAGGCGCAGAGCAGCATTATACGCGTCTGAATTTCTGGAAGCAGGTTGCAAAATCTAGTCCATTTTAATCATTCATTTATGTCGTAAATGAAATACCAGAACGATCCCCTTTTGGAAACAGGGCTAACAAAAAATAAATGTTAGTAGGTGGGTTTAACCCGACGTTACCATGAATCGATATTCCCTGCAATTTTATAATCACGTAATCCAAATACCGTTATTCAGGGACGCTTGTCTGACATTAATTTTTTCCGAACTCTATTTGATCTTTGTCCGAACATTAACCTAACTACGAAAAAAAGTTGCGAGGGAACTATGTCGAGAAAAACAACGTTAATGGCTGGCTGCCTTTGCATAAAACATGTTCGCTGCACTTCTGCTGAACTGACACAAGATAGAACAATGTCATCAAAGTTATTGTAAGAAAATTCCGAGCAGGAAGAAATAATAGCATCGAAGTTAATTAAAGATTATTTTGTTCAATATATCGATGATTAAGCTTCTGAAATGCAAATATGTTTCAAAAAACCTCAACTTTGAACAGCGAATAAAAGTGTTTTTATTAATCACGCTACCAACAAAATGAACAAATCCAATTGTAATGATATTATAAGACTAACAAAATAATTTAAATTATAATAGGATGAATAAAATCATTCTAGATTGCGCAAGGATGAATAAACCCGTTTTAGATTACATGTTTTAGAAGTACTGCAATGACTGCATATCATTTTTTCTCGCGCGCCACGCTTCCGGCACGCGCCGTCCATGCTAACCTCGTACTAGTTGCACGTGCAGCCCTGACGAGACGCTGGCACTGTTGCCAACTCTGCATTTTGCACACTCATTGCAACATAACAGTCTAATTTAGATCTGAATCATTTACAGCAATGAAGCAAGGGAATGCATCAACCGCATTGTAAAGCTATTTGTGCTGTTCAGCAGCAGCAATCTACGCAGTGGCAAGGGCTTGTGCATAGAGACCTGAACAAGCAGGTATTAACTGGAGTAATGATACTAAGGGAGAACATTTTAAATTCTTTGGCGCGTGCACACAAATTGATTGCATACAATGTAAGTAGTCGAACTCGATGACATTTATTAATATTTTTTTTTGGAATTTTAAGGACAGCTATCGCTCATATTGAATTATTACAGCTCAATCTTGGGTTAGAGTGAACATGCTCATCGACCAAATATGTTTTAAATATGAAATACGCGCAGTTTCAGGTACGCACGCCGGTTTAGGATAGGTCTCTGCTTCCAGTTTTAGGTTATAGATGGAAAAAATATCATCGCAAGGGATATTCAAAGGTTTAAATCAACTTATACTTTTAAAAATCCGAGCAAAGTAGTGCCTAATCGTACGCCAGGCAGGGGCACTGAGACACATGCATTTATTTACCCGAGGTTCTCCTAATCAAAGCATTTTTTCATTTTTTGGCTAGCCTCAAGGAGATATATTAGTATAGTATCTTTGGCGTAGAATAATAGGCCTGGATTGGCCTGTCGCCGGTACCTGTACGCTGTACTTTTCGTGACTTCTTCAGTAATGGTCACAGATCTAAATAACAATAATAGCGGTTTCAGCGTTCATTAGGCTGTAGGCCTGTCGCCGATTCTTAACATTGCAGAACATTCACAGCTTGTTGTAGTCTCGAACACGCAACTCACTGCTCCAATTCTGCTGCGCTTAAAATATTAACCATCGATTCTGACCAGAAACTGCTGGGATCGAACCCGCACCTCTCTGCTCCAATCCCGATACTCTGAACTGTAACCACTGGGCCACCCTGCCCAGTTAAAAAACAGTTCTTTTGATCGAATCTTTTCGATGGACGGTGGTTTGAAGTCGTTTCTAGATTTTATTGTTCCATAGGGTACTAGGCATTTCAAGACTCAAGATATGCTCCTCTAGTCTTTTCTTGAACGAGTTTGGCTTCAGTTTCAGATCAAGGGATATTAACCATAATTTTTATGAAGAATATTTCATGCACGAATTTAATTTATTTTTGTGAAAGCAATTTTTTCTAATAAGCTTTAGGACTGGGCGTTCGAAACGCGTTACTTAAAAGTGCCATTGTGAACTTCACAAATCAGTAAAGATAACAAAAACTCGAGAATGTCTAGGAATGCGTTATATTTGGTTGCTGCAATCCACATGATAACGCAGGGATGAAATATCGCCGAGTAAAAACCGTCCAGCTACTGAATTTTAAACGTGCTCATGAGAGGCCAACTGTGCATGCGGGATTTTTTTTTCAATTTATTTAATAAACAAGGAAGTTTAAAGCGTGGTAAGCCTATAAGGAAAAATGAAGAGCTGTACACGGCACTCGGAGCAAAGCAACTGCGGCGACCGGAGAAAGGAAGACCAGAACATTAGATGTCCGATGACATTTTCTTCACCTGCATGAATGCGGCAAATGTTACAGTGTAAGTAAAACTCACAATAAAGAACAGAGCCAGTATAATTATCAACAGTAATATGAAAGAAAAAACTGAGTATTACGTACCAACATACAGTTTCAAAGTAGGAACAATGAATTACTATTTATAACAAATCTTGCTGCATAGCGACTGACCATATAGTATAGCGGCTAGGTGAGTAGGCCGTACCTGTACTTTTGAGTTCTCCTATTGCACTGTTAGAAAAATTCCCGTTAACGGGATTACCGGCGTTTCAGTGGCCGGTTGGCACGTGAAAAGAAACACCGTGTCGCCGTTTTTATTCTAATTTAACACTAGAAATCCGTAAAGCATCTGATAAAAATGGCGAAACAGTTTATTTTCACGGGGCGACCGGCCACTAGAACGCCAGTGGGACCGTTTTGTTACCGTTTTTTTCTAAGAGTGTGAACACATCACAGATACAAACTACAATGCAAGTAATACGACAAGCGTGTACTAGATGTAGCAGATCAACTTTAGCACTCGTCAATACCACACCATGAAACATGTCTAATGCACCAGCAACTTCTTAAAGGAATGCATACATGTTGCAACTATTCATCTTTCAAAAATAAATGAAGACGAAACTTTTCGAACGGAATGTTTATCAGAAGCTGATTGTTCAGAGAGTCCAGAGATACTTAACGTAAAGTGACTACGTAGTTCACAAGGCAGTCGATTGGTCATCAGGAACAATGTTCAGGCTAAGAAAACCTTAACTTATATCACATGGGGTTCATTATAAGACACGCGTGCTGATTACAGTGACGTAGAGTACGATATAACAATAATTCTTACTCAATAAAAACAAATCTCGATACAATAGATATTTGATAATATATGTCACTCATCAAACTATAGGATAGGATTTGCTAGGCAATTCCCTCCAGACATCGGAAACTTTATCTGCTAGGCAATTCCTTCAAGACACCGGGAACTTTATCTGCTAGGCAATTCCTTCCAGGCATCGGGAACTTTATCTGCTAGGCAATTCCTTCCAGGCATCGGGAACTTTATCTGCTAGGCAGCAATTCCTTCAAGGCACAGGGAACTTTATCTGCTGGGCAATTCCTTCAAGGCATCGGGAACTTTATCTGCTAGGCAATTCCTTCAGGGCATCGGAAACTTTATCTGCTAGGCAATTCCTTCAGGGCATCGGAAACTTTACACAACATATGTGTATAATGTAATGACTTGTCAAAGCTACGCGAGCCATAAAATAAACTAATATTTCCTGTGAGCTGCACACAAATGACGTAGAACAAAATGCAAGGCTCCTTTCACTTGCAGCGACCAATACTAAGTTTTAATAGGAGCAGAAACACGGAATAAATACGGATTCTGTTACGCGGATATATAGCGATATCATTGCTCCATTGGCTGAGAATTTTCAATTCGAAAAAAAGTCATTATTCAATTATATCTATTATTCAATTATATTATTATATATTATGAGGCGTTTGAATTTTAAACCCCCAAGACGAGACCAGCAGCCAATTACGTGTTACGGAGAATTTATAAATTCATCATCAAATTTAAATTCATCATCAAATTTAAATTCATCATCAAATACTCAAAAAATATGAATAACTTGGCAGGAATTGTCCAACATATTTCAATCGGTCCAACTACAGGTAATATTCTGTTCTGAACTAAAATAATCTGAACTACCTGAACGGAATTTCGCATTAGACCTACAATTAGGTCTTATGCCATTAGAATTCTGAATTAGACCTGTCTTTTGGTAGCGTTTATTTTGGAGACGGTCTTGTTGCTGACGTCAACTCCTTGGTTCTTGTGGTGGTTGTCAGCTGTGACAAGGCCATGGTTCTTAACGCCGGTGTTGTGGTAGTTACCAGCCATGTCAGCACCGTGGATCGTAGCGCTTGTGGTGTGGTGGTTGATGGTAGGAGAGCGAGCAGGCGTCAGGTTGTAGGAATAAGTTCCGTCAGGTTGCCGTCTCGCCACTGAGGAAAATAAAGACAAGTTAGCCAAGACCGTGCACTGTGTAGAGCACTCAATAGACCGTGCACTGTGTAGAGCACTCAATAGGACGTGTCTATCACCGTCCTCAAGCTCACCGTGACGGGTCGAACGGCCGTCGCACGGGCGGCCGCTGTAGAGCGCCCGTCGCCACAGGGGAGACGTCGGCCGCGTGGTGTCGCGGAGTTGCTCCAGCATCACTTATGCTCATGCCTTCACTTGAGTTAGATTTATTACTAAAATCGTTGACGTTTTTCTTCTCAGAGCCTCGACTGACGGTGGAAACTCTCGCAGGCAGTTTGGAGTCGACAGACAATATCTTTAAAACAAGGAAGAACAGAGAAGCATATTTAAAACGAAGGTCAGAATTAGACTGGCAGCAGAGAAAAAAATTGAACCAGTAAATGACACAGATGACCGAATTTTATGACTATAAGCTTTACTTTCATTCTCAGAAAATACAATAAATCATCAATAAAAAGAGTAATAATATTATAATTCATATGAAAGACTTGAGTTGTGACACGACACGACACGACACATGTTATGTAATAATTAGTCGTGGCACGTACGCACCGAAGGGCGGAGAAGTCTGTGCGTGTTGGTAGGTCTGATGTCGGACGCGTGTTGTGACACAGGCTTAACGTGACACACTTGATGCGTTGCTGGCACCACACCTGACGCAACTGTCATGTATCAAAACATAGCTTCTCCTCCATACAGCAGAAATCCTTTAATATTAAAGACTTTAAATAAAATGAGCTATATTATTATCATTATAGTTAACCTGACGCAACTGTGACGTATCAATACATAGTTCCGTACATCAGAAATCCTCTAATATGACAGATTTTAAATAAAATGAGCTTCTTTCTTCACCAGAATTCTTATAGTTTTCATAGGGAGTACAAGTTATACACACTTCATATATTCAAGTCAGCAGTCGGAAGACGCCTTGCGCTGTTATCAACGAGGCAAAATTAAAACCCAATGTCCTGGGCTTGGTTCAGTGACAACGAACGTCAGAAAAACCTCGATTTAGGATAAAAAACCGTTAGCATCAGGTTCCCATCATTTACATTTAAAATCACGCACTAAAAACAATTTTTGCAACCCCTTTAATACACTCACCTTGGGCGGATGTCGGGGCGGCGTTCCTGACAGCCCTCCGACGATACCTGCGCCAGGTCTCCTGCACAACTCTAGCTGCTATCTCCTGCACCTCCCTGCAGCGTTGTTATGCACGACCAAAATAATTCTATCTACTATTAGAGATGATAGCCATAAAATATAGGAAAATAATTCTATCAACTATAGAGATGATAGACATAAAATATATTGTACATCAGTTGATGAAATGATGTAATATGTAATAAATGCTGCATGATGAGAGAGCTGCGAAGACAACGGAGTTTCAGCTCGCAGAGATTAGAAAAGTATTCTGATGTTGATTGAAACATTGTGATAGTTTGAGCGGACGATAATGGAGGAGAGTAATTGGACAGCCTCCCTGACTACATCGTTGACGCTCCGAGTATGAACGCGTTCAAGAACAGACTAGATAAAGCTATGGAAAAATGTATGTTCAGATTTGAAATGCCTAGCACAATATCGAACCCGGTGGACGTCTAGTAGCTACTTCAAACTATCGTCAGTCGTGAAAAGATACGGTCAAATGACACGATTTTAGATCTTCTGTGAACAAGGCACGAAAAGTTCAAGAATCGGCGACAGGCCACACCAGGCCTATACACTTCAGCGCCGACATCACTATGTTATGTTAGGTTATGTTATGTTATGTTAAGTGAGCTCACATGTGATAATAACCCATCAGAATAAGTGGCATGAGACTATAATAGTGAACGTGAAACTGTCGCAGTGAACATGAGTTTGTGTGATCCTGAAACTGTGATTTAATTTTAGTAATGCATAGGAGACTGACACGGTAAAAATGAGGATTACACAAGTAATTATGAGACTAACATGGGTAAATATGAGAATGTCATGTGTAAATATGAGAATGTCATACGTAAATACCGAGACTAGACATGCAGAGGTGATACTGACATGGCAGTGAGCGCTCCAGCGTCGATGAGAAGCTTTTCCACGGCATGATGCTCTCCATTTCTTGCTACGTCGAGTGGCGTTAACCTGCATGATAAGAAATGTTATTCATTATTGTTTTATTGCATGCATCGAGAACAAGAGAAGTGAGGCCTGAAAAACGGCCAGAAGCTACCCGCATCATCGGAGCGTTAGGGAGGACTATATTGATGCCAACGATCGCTGAGCGGAGTGTAAGGGAGGACTATATTGATGCCAAGGATCGCTGAGCGGGGTGTAAGGGAGGACTATATTGATGTCAAGGATCGCTGAGCGGAGTGTAAGGGAGGACTATATTGATGCCAAGGATCGCTGAGCGGAGTGTAAGGGAGGACTATATTGACGCCAAGGATCGCTGAGCGGAGTGTAAGGGAGGACTATATTGATGTCAAGGATCGCTAAGCGGAGTGACGCAGGCCATAACATAAGAACTCACACGAGCAAAGAATATTATTGGATGCAAAGAGTGAATAATTATAATGAATAACAGAGAAGTCAAATAGCGTATAAAAGTAAATAATGCCACTGCTCCCAAATGAATAATTGTGATCACTGAGCATAGCAATTATTATTTAGTTGTAGTTAACACGTTGAGTGCAGTACGACCCAACGGTGAGGTGCAGGGTCTCTTTTCCGCGCAATTTCCGAGATATAGTTCTTTTCAATTGCGTCGGCCGGCAAAAAAATTTATGATGCTGATACTTCCTCATTAAATATCAAACAATACGAAAAAACAGGAAAACCGATTTGTTGCCCAGGAGCCTACAAATTTACTGGTAAATTTTAATTTATAGGCATTTTTGTCCGCGGACTTGGCTGTTTTTAGGCCATATGGCAACCCAGGTGGGCCATACCACACTCAAAGTGTTAATCATCAAGTATTGACAATAATAAAACAATAACTGGTATAATTTATAATCGGTGAAAATGGAAAGTAATCTGAGGCCATTTCCATTTAAATTACGCGATTATTGTTGATTAAATTTGTTTGGTGATGAAAAACTCTCCTGTTACCGGAGCGTTAACATACAACTAATTTCTTTCATAATAATTACAAGAATATTCACATATGAGAGGTAATATAGAGCTGAGTGGGCGACACTACATCACCAGCACACTCTAAGAGCACAATCTAAGAGGTGATATAGAGCTGAGTGGGCGACACTACATCACCAGCACACTCTAAGAGCACAATCTAAGAGGTGATATAGAGCTGAGTGGGCGACACTACATCACCAGCACACTCTAAGAGGTAATATAGAGCTGAGTGGGCGAAACTACATCACTCCCATAACGTCTGAGATGCAGGCTGGTGACCAGAAGCCATAATTTCAAAACTCGCTAAGTGAACGTAAGTACTTATGCTCTATTTTCTTGTCTATGATTGGTGGATTTTGCTTGAAAGGCCGTCAATGGTTGGCTGATGAACTTACGATCTCTTAACTTTTTTTAAAGTATGGGCCCAGCCTATCAACGCGTCATGTTTAGCCTCAAGTAAAATAGCTTGCTGTACTGATGCTATACTGCAATACTCGAGCACAAGATCCTTTACGTGCTCATAATAAACAATATTACGAAGCGAGTGTGTCACACTACACGCAACCTTACATGCTATCACCTTAACAGCTATAGTCTTAAGGGTTATTAGCTAACTGGATATTGCCTTAGAGGTCATTACCAAAATTGCTTTAACATAGTTGACGATAATACAGCTGGCAATGTATGGACTTTGCCCAGTAGTGATGATGGCAGCGCCTGATGATGGCAATGAAGGCAGCGCCTGATGATGGCAATGATGGCAGCGCCTGATGATGGCAATGATGGCAGCGCCTGATGATGGCAATGATGGCAGCGCCTGATGATGGCAATGATGGCAGCGCCTGATGATGGCAATGATGGCAGCGCCTGATGATGGCAATGATGGCAGCGCCTGATGATGGCAATGATGGCAGCGCCTGATGATGGCAATGATGGCAGCGCCTGATGATGGCAATGATGGCAGCGCCTGATGATGGCAATGATGGCAGCGCCTGATGATGGCAATGATGGCAGCGCCTGATGATGGCAATGATGGCAGCGCCTGATGATGGCAATGATGGCAGCGCCTGATGATGGCAATGATGGCAGCGCCTGATGATGGCAATGATGGCAGCGCCTGATGATGGCAATGATGGCAGCGCCTGATGATGGCAATGATGGCAGCGCCTGATGATGGCAATGATGGCAGCGCCTGATGATGGCAATGATGGCAGCGCCTGATGATGGCAATGATGGCAGCGCCTGATGATGGCAATGATGGCAGCGCCTGATGATGGCAATGATGGCAGCGCCTGATGATGGCAATGATGGCAGCGCCTGATGATGGCAATGATGGCAGCGCCTGATGATGGCAATGATGGCAGCGCCTGATGATGGCAATGATGGCAGCGCCTGATGATGGCAATGATGGCAGCGCCTGATGATGGCAATGATGGCAGCGCCTGATGATGGCAATGATGGCAGCGCCTGATGATGGCAATGATGGCAGCGCCTGATGATGGCAATGATGGCAGCGCCTGATGATGGCAATGATGGCAGCGCCTGATGATGGCAATGATGGCAGCGCCTGATGATGGCAATGATGGCAGCGCCTGATGATGGCAATGATGGCAGCGCCTGATGATGGCAATGATGGCAGCGCCTGATGATGGCAATGATGGCAGCGCCTGATGATGGCAATGATGGCAGCGCCTGATGATGGCAATGATGGCAGCGCCTGATGATGGCAATGATGGCAGCGCCTGATGATGGCAATGATGGCAGCGCCTGATGATGGCAATGATGGCAGCGCCTGATGATGGCAATGATGGCAGCGCCTGATGATGGCAATGATGGCAGCGCCTGATGATGGCAATGATGGCAGCGCCTGATGATGGCAATGATGGCAGCGCCTGATGATGGCAATGATGGCAGCGCCTGATGANCAGGTCCGGGTCCGCGCTGTTCTCGAGCAGCATGGCCACGAGGCCGCCGTGGCCGCTGCGGACGGCGGTCAGGAGGACGCTGCTGCCGTGCCCGTCCTGCGTGTCCACGCACGTGCCTGCGTGACACGCATGCGTGGGTCGTGGGTACAAACAACACGCACTGCGTGACACGCACTGCGTGTCACGTAAGTATTAACTCAGAGGAACAGTTAAGTTCACTTGCCAACAACGAGCGCAAAACATGCCTACACTCAAGGTAAATTGGACAATATGCGTTTGTTAAGTAATGTCCCTCTCACCGCCCCTCTCCCCGTCCCTCTCACCGCCCCTCTCCCCGTCCCTCTCACCGCCCCTCTCCCCGTCCCTCTCACCGCCCCTCTCNGGGGTACCGGGGCATGGTACGTGGGGGTACCGGGGCATGGTACGTGGGGGTACCGGGGCATGGTACGTGGGGGTACCGGGGCATGGTACGTGGGGGTACCGGGGCATGGTACGTGGGGGTACCGGGGCATGGTACGTGGGGGTACCGGGGCATGGTACGTGGGGGTACCGGGGCATGGTACGTGGGGGTACCGGGGCATGGTACGTGGGGGTACCGGGGCATGGTACGTGGGGGTACCGGGGCATGGTACGTGGGGGTACCGGGGCATGGTACGTGGGGGTACCGGGGCATGGTACGTGGGGGTACCGGGGCATGGTACGTGGGGGTACCGGGGCATGGTACGTGGGGGTACCGGGGCATGGTACGTGGGGGTACCGGGGCATGGTACGTGGGGGTACCGGGGCATGGTACGTGGGGGTACCGGGGCATGGTACGTGGGGGTACCGGGGCATGGTACGTGGGGGTACCGGGGCATGGTACGTGGGGGTACCGGGGCATGGTACGTGGGGGTACCGGGGCATGGTACGTGGGGGTACCGGGGCATGGTACGTGGGGGTACCGGGGCATGGTACGTGGGGGTACCGGGGCATGGTACGTGGGGGTACCGGGGCATGGTACGTGGGGGTACCGGGGCATGGTACGTGGGGGTACCGGGGCATGGTACGTGGGGGTACCGGGGCATGGTACGTGGGGGTACCGGGGCATGGTACGTGGGGGTACCGGGGCATGGTACGTGGGGGTACCGGGGCATGGTACGTGGGGGTACCGGGGCATGGTACGTGGGGGTACCGTGGCATGGTACGTGGGGGTACCGGGGCATGGTACGTGGGGGTACCGTGGCATGGTACGTGGGGGTACCGGGGCATGGTACGTGGGGGTACCGGGGCATGGTACGTGGGGGTACTGGGGCATGGTAGCGAAGTATCATGTACCGTAAGGAGCCATGAGAAACAATGTCATCATTGAGCGTATTTCATGAGTAAATATATTAATGGAATAAGTTTAAAATACATTTAAGAATAAATATATTAATGGAATAAGATATACACCAGCCCACGTGTATAAGTTGAATATTTCTTACTTACGGTTAAGGTCAACTAAACAGTCGTAATAGAGGCGGAAATAATCATACAGAACTAATATGGAGCCGTTACCGTGCAGAGGGTATAAACGTCACAGAACATCAAGGCAACGCTTTAATTCTGACACGGCCGTTATTAAGGGGGGCGTCTGGGTACAAAGGTCGACATTTCGGGCTTCGGCTTTTCCGGTTTTTAGGCTTATATCAAAACTTACTTTCTGACGCATCGAACGGTACTAGAACCATCTCTGTACGTTGATTTATGCGTTCACTACAGATCCCGTAAGGGGGAGGTGTCCGGGCCCCTTCAGTAAAGTTAAGGCGGAAATTACCCGGCCGGGCAGCGGGCACCATATATAAAGGAGATCGTCTGACGTAAAGCGGCCAATTATGACATTCTCCGCTTCTTATACTCATCTTAAAGCTTACTTTCTGCCACATCGAACGGTATTAGAACCTTCTCTGTACGTTGATTTATGCGTTCACGACAGATCCCGTAAGGGGGGAAGGGGTTGGGGGCTTTCAGTAATTTCAAAGGGGTAAATTAACTATAAAATGTGCTCTTCACTCAGCTAGAGCTCAGTAACCTCACAGACAGCACGCGGGATGGTGTTCATTTAGTGGCTCCATGCACCGATGACTGACTTTGAAGTGAGTTGATGCTTACTTTTGGTATCTAGGCTACGTTACGTGCCTTTACGTGCCGTCTGAAAAGTTTCCAAAGCTGAAAACCTCTCTCACGGCAATCCTATCTCCTCCTACAATTTTGAAGCTATATCAATGAGAGATATACCGTTCGATTCGCAAAGAAAATATCTACAAAAGTCGCATACATTTTCCTAATTTCGTTATAGTTTGTATTTTATAATGCAAAAAAGGGGGAGGGTGGCGGGGGTAAAATAAAAAAATTGGAAATTTTTACGAAAAATGCTTTAACACCCACAAAAATGAAAATTTCAAAAAACGAATGCGACGTTTCATAGATCTGGTCTTTACGCATTGAATGATATGTGTCTCGATGTTGTAGTTTGAAAACCCTAGGAGGAGATAGAATTCTAAAGTACCCCCTTTTTGATCCGTTTTCTAAAAATTTCACGTTTTCTTTCATTTTTTTCCAAAAATTCACACATACAAAAAATTTTCTTTTTTGGTTTTACACATGTGTACCAAGTTTAAACTGATCCATCTGTAAATAATTGAGATTAAATTTTGCCCAGACGCTCCCCTTAAGACTACGGCCGCGAGACATTGTTGCGCCGCTAGCCACACACCTGCAGCAGCGCCGTGGCACCGCCGCTAGCCACACACCTGCAGCAGCGCCGTGGCGCCGCCGCTAGCCACACACCTGCAGCAGCGCCGTGGCGCCGCCGCTAGCCACACACCTGCAGCAGCGCCGTGGCGCCGCCACTAGCCACACACCTGCAGCAGCGCAGTGCAGCGCCGTGGCACCGCCGAGGTCGGCGCCGTTGACCAGGTCGTCGCCGCAGATGCGCAGCAGGTGCGCCGTCGTGGCCACGTGGCCGCGGCCGGCCGCCGTCAGCAGCGCGGGACAGAAGGCCACATCAGGCTGGGGGAGGACAGCTTAATGCACGTAATGGACAACATTACGTGCATAAGATTACGTGCATGACATTACGTGCCACGTCAGGCTGCGGGAAGACAGCTTAACACGTTGACTACGTAGTGGTACATATGCGTACCACGAAATGTATTTCTCCAGGACGTATGGTACGTACATAATTCAGGTTGCCTAAAATCGGCCAAATCCGAGAACAAAAAAGGCCAAAAAAGGCCGATGTATACTAGTTTATTTGTACGTTCCGCTATAAAAATTCCATTTATTTTCTTTTGCAGTATTTAAAATTTAATTAGGAAGTACCCCTATCATAAATTTTAGCCTGCCAACGCAATTGAGAAAAACTAAATCACGGAATTTGTCCGGAAAAAATGACTGTCTGGCAACCCTGTTTAAAAACAGTACAATAAGTGAAATAATAGTACAAGATGAAGCAATCGGAGTCAACGTGTTAATGCACGTATAACGTATAACATTACGTGCATAATATTACGAGCATGACATTACGTGCATAACATTACGTGCATAACATTACGNTAAGTAACAGCGCCTGCATCGCGTCATACCGTCCCCTGCAACACCGCCATCACTGTATTGTAAGTAACAGCGCCTGCATCGCGTCATACCGTCCCCTGCAACACCGCCATCACTGTATTGTAAGTAACAGCGCCTGCATCGCGTCATACCGTCCCCTGCAACACCGCCATCACTGTATTGTAAGTAACAGCGCCTGCATCGCGTCATACCGTCCCCTGCAACACCGCCATCACTGTATTGTAAGTAACAGCGCCTGCATCGCGTCATACCGTCCCCTGCAACACCGCCATCACTGTATTGTAAGTAACAGCGCCTGCATCGCGTCATACCGTCCCCTGCAACACCGCCATCACTGTATTGTAAGTAACAGCGCCTGCATCGCGTCATACCGTCCCCTGCAACACCGCCATCACTGTATTGTAAGTAACAGCGCCTGCATCGCGTCATACCGTCCCCTGCAACACCGCCATCACTGTATTGTAAGTAACAGCGCCTGCATCGCGTCATACCGTCCCCTGCAACACCGCCATCACTGTATTGTAAGTAACAGCGCCTGCATCGCGTCATACCGTCCCCTGCAACACCGCCATCACTGTATTGTAAGTAACAGCGCCTGCATCGCGTCATACCGTCCCCTGCAACACCGCCATCACTGTATTGTAAGTAACAGCGCCTGCATCGCGTCATACCGTCCCCTGCAACACCGCCATCACTGTATTGTAAGTAACAGCGCCTGCATCGCGTCATACCGTCCCCTGCAACACCGCCATCACTGTATTGTAAGTAACAGCGGATGTACATATTAACCCATTAATGCCGAGAATTATTTTCTGATTTTTTTCGTTTCCTGTGAGAATATTATCACTTGTGATGGTAATAAATAAAAAAATATGTTAAAATATTTCTTTTTCGTTGCATGTGAAAAATTATATCTTGGTCCCATATGGAACTGGTCTAAATGTTTCATGATCTAATGACTTTAGAAACATTATAACTCATAATACCATATACAGCATTAAAAATGCTCACTCACTTTATTTTTGGAAAGAATTACTCACCTTTCTTGGCTATGATATAAAGCCGTCCTGAATGAAACCTGGTTCTTATATTCTTTTAATGTTATCTGAACAGGGCATAGTCGGTGCAGAATATGTACAAGAAGATGTGTGTCAAACCTACGCATCCACTTGTATATTTATTTGATTTTACAATTTTATTAGGAATCCATTTTGCCCGCTGGTTCCAAATGGGACCGCTAGGCATTAATGGGTTAAGATGGGGATGTTGAAGGGGATGTTGAAGGGGGATGTTGAAGTCCATTAGCAGAGTGTCAGATACTAAGGTTAGGTTAGGTTAGGTACCTAGCATTTCAATGATCCCACTCATAAGTAGGTATCCTAGGTAACACATAACATCATTGTAACATATTGTGAGGACCAGTATAAGTGAATTAAACAACATTTTGAGGAGAAGAAGGAACACCTCACTAGAGCAATACAATAGTTCTGTTCAACCTTGATGGAAATACCAAAATGGTCAAACGTCATCAAGATGCTGGCGCTGCAGCAGCAACTGTACCTGATGGCGGCCATGTGAAGAGGAGTGCAGCAACTGTACCTGATGGCGGCCATGTGAAGAGGAGTTCTGAAGTTGTGGTCATTGGGACTACAGCCAAGTGATGGAGGCCAGCGCTGCAGCAGCAACTGTACCTGATGGCGGCCATGTGAAGAGGAGTTCTGAAGTTGTGGTCATTGGGACTACAGCCAAGTGATGGAGGCCAGCGCTGCAGCAGCAACTGTATGACAGCAAAACTTGGCTGAGCCGCAGCCACATGCAGTGCAGTCCAGCCTTTGCAGTCCTGCCAATGTAAGCACAAATAGAATAGAATAGAATAGAAGTTCCGGCAATACCACATCTATTTCCAAAATCTAAATCTTAAGGTAGAAGAAGCGATGCTTTGCATTGATTGAACATAAACCAAATTTCAATAGGTTGTTCTAATGTAATTATTGTACTTACTTCAATAATATTCAAAATTGTACCTTTTTTATTGATAATATTTTGAAATAAACGCAATGCACGTTAAGGCACTTCCTCTTCAAAAATAAAAAATAAATATGGCTTTTGGCACTAGCAAGATTGACATCGTTTGATCAAAGAATCCACTGGAATTTCAGCCGCTTCATTTCTTGGGCAGCTTCACTTAAAAATTAATTTTTATTTCACTTCCATCTCATTTTTTAGAGGAGAAATAGGCCTCACTAATTTTTACCTTACACATAAAGTGGAGAGGCAGGCATTGTTCAAGGTATAATTATATCTATTCATTCAATTCAAAGAAGTATTGAGAAATATAAACTCTCAATTCATGAAATGATACTCACAGTTGCGTTCATGTCTATAAAGGGTCAGAAAAATAAATGAATAGAACTAACATGCAAGTTACAATGAGCAGCAAAGAGCAGTTTAGCAATCCTACACTCTTTGTTGTGGTGCCACTTGGCAAGAGTGGATGAGAACAAGAGGTGGCAGAGTGGCCAGAAAGAGGAAGGAGAAATGCAAAAGACAGTAGCAGATGAAAAGGCACAGTGCGCATGATTGGATTGGTTAGAGGTGAGTGAAGATTGTTTGGGGTTGGAAACCGGTCTGGTTTTGGACGGTTCAAGTGGGTCGGTGGTGGGAGTGTGGTGGTACTTTATCTACATTATTTACATTTGAGCAGAGTTAAAAAAATAAAAATGATGAGTGCTCTCACAGTAGTCTCACTATTTACATGCAGTCTCACTTTTTCAAGTTTTATAGTTTTTTTCTCAGATGATATGATGAAGAGGGGGTAATGATGTTGATGATGGTTGGTAATGATAAAGGTGAATGTGGTGGGTGGGTCACTCAGGACTTGGCGGGGAGTTAGAGGGTTAGTTGATTTATTTCGTGCTGGGTTTTTGGGTCTTGTTTTTCCTGTGCGTCACCACTCTCAGTGAGTCGCGTCAGTCAGTCAGCACTCAGCATGATAGTGAATTGGATGACGTGCGTTGTTTTTGGGACCAGCTACACCCAAACGTGATGGAAAAACTGCCGTCTGGGTGCAGTACGGTCCGCTGTCTTGTTATTTGTACACGGGTGGAGGTGGGGGACCTAGTGCATGTAATTTAGAGCTTTTGAATAGCTGGTGCTGCCTTGTTATACCGTCTGGGCCCAATGTAAGTTGATTGAAGAGTTGGGGATCATATGTTTTGATGGTGGACCAGGTTTTGCGTGCTTGTTGGTGGAGGACTGTGTTTATTGTGGGAATGCTGCATTGTTTCTGTAGTGCTTGGGAGGATATGAAGTCGGACCAGTGTGTGTTCATGATGAGTTTCAGTGCATAATTTTGGATTTTCTGCAGTTGGGATATTGGGGGATAAATGAGAGCTGACATAACATAGGTGAGGTATAGAGTGCATTGTATGTTTGAAGGAAGGTGGTAGTCTCTGTATATTTTATGCAGATTTGCAAGGGCCATTACTTTCCTAACTGTTACTTGGGACATTAAACCATGTGTTGTAAACCATGTTGTACGTGTATGGATAGTGAGTGTTGTCTATGAATATGTCAGATGATTTTTGTCTAGTGATGGGGATGATTTTGAACTTTGTACGGTTGGTCCTAATTAGCCATTTGTTTTCAAATGTGTTTATCTGTTGGATGGCATGTTGTGTTTGTAGTGCAGCATAGTTAGGCTTGAAGCATCCTGTCATTATTTGTGTTATGTTGTCCGCAAATGCTATGTAATGTGTGTTGGGTTGTGGTGGTGGGAGGTCATGTGCATAGAAGCTGTAGTGTGGGGGAGAGACAATCCCATTGTGGGACACCTAAGTGGAATTCCATTATAGGACCTAGTTAGTTCCTAGTCTTGTTGTTGTGGCAGCGTGGCGAACGGACGTTTGGTGTCGCGTGCAGTCCGCCGGTTTCATTTAATTTTGCCAGTTCAACTGTGTTATTGCATTCTGTACTGAAGTGTTCCAGTGAATAGTCTGGAATTAAGTAAAGTCAGTAAAAAATTGAGTGCAAGTAACAATTGATTGAAATACTGAGTACAGCCATTAAAAATAGAGTGTGGGTAACGATTGATTGAGAAAAAATTTAGTACGATTTAATTCTGTTGCCTCGTACTATACTGAAGTGTTCCAATGAATAGTCTGGAATTAAGTAAAGTCAGTAAAAAGTGAGTGAGTTACCAATTGATTGTGAAACATGGCAGCCAAAGTCTGTGCTAGTAAACCTGCCGGAGAATGCCTGGAATGCAACAAATGCAATTTTGGACAATTGGCACTAAGATGTAACACATGCAGACAATTTTGTCACTTCGAATGTTCACTACTTCCAGAATACCAATTTGCAAGATATTTAAAAACGAGAACATCATTCATGAGTAGAAAATGCGTTATGAACGAGGGGTGGGTGAAAGAAGCCATGCAGAGTGTGCAAACAGTTCGAGCGTCCAAGAGAAGAAGGCCTATCATGAATGGGTCTCTCTGTTTGACTAAGATGCAGCTACCCTCAACTCCCCTCACTCCCTCAACTCCCCTTACTCCCTCAACTCCCCTCACTCCCTCAACTCCCCTTACTCCCTCAACTCCCCTCACTCCCTCAACTCCCCTTACTCCCTCAACTCCCCTCACTCCCTCCCCTGAATCCCTCACTGCTGCCCGACATGCTCCGCCTACCCCGACCCTTGACCGTGGCATTGCCCCTCCCCTCTCTTCTTTAAATGCCTCAAACAAGAAGCATTTAACTGTTAAGAAACGCATTTGCTGGAGATATCTTCAGGGCAAGTGCGATGGGGAGAATGAAGAAATGAACTGTAACTATCCTCACCCTAAGATCTGTCAAAAATTTGCAACATTTGGAAGCAAAAACCAACGCGGATGCAAAAAAGGGAGAGACTGTCAATATTACCATCCGTTCCTATGCTGGAATACTGGTATTAAAAATGTAGCTTGCAAACGTGATTCCAGTCGGTTTCACCACCGTAAACTCAACCTGCAGTTAAGTGATAATGCCGAAGAGAGACGTGACCCTGATAGTTCCTCCTCGGAACACAGGATAGATTATACTGCCAAACCCTAAACATCAGAAAGAAATTACATGGTTAAAAAAATCAGTTCTGGGAAGGGCGAATCTATCGAAATCAAAAGTACAGAGCAGTTCCAAAAATTTCCGCACTGGCCAACACAACCTACCGGAGTGAAGAAGAACAAACAGGACTCGATATCAAGCGCAGCCATTTTTTAGGCCTACAGAGGCAAGTAGATCAGATTCAACAACAAATGCAGCAGTTGTTGACATTGCACGAACAACAGCAGAAATCACAGCAACAGCTGCAGAGCCAGAGATCCCTGGCAGTGCAGTGTTACAGCAACTAAGGACGCAAGGAAGGGAAGAGTCTAGCATCATGATAGCTAATATAGAGGGGCTCTTCCCAAGAAGAAAACGCCACAAGATCGGCGTACTTAAAGAAATTGCTGAGACGGAAGGAATAATCATGCTTGCCTTAACCGAGTCACACCTAAGAGAAGATATCCAAGATGGAGAAATCGAGATGAAAGGCTTTCAACATTACCAAGCAGATCGAAAAGAAGGGAGAAGAAAAGGAGGCGTTATAGTCTACCTCAGAAACTTCCTCGCGGCAAAAACAGTTCCCCTGCATTTAGGCTCTAATGGATATGTGGAACATGCTATACTATGTATACACTCCCCACCTCCATCTGTGCATAGCTATCGTATACCGACCACCTGACTGCCCGCCTGAAAAATTCAATGAAACTCTTGATAGAATAGAAACAGAGGTTGCCAACTTAGGTGAACCTTCTCCAAATATTGTGGTTGCGGGAGATTTTAACCTACCACACATACAATGGCCAAACTTGGACTGTGCAGAACGGCGCAGGAATCACACCAGAAACCAGGCAACACAACTACTTCGATTAGCTAGGGAGCACTTGCTAAGCCAACAGGTTCTGGTGCCAACAAGAGAACATAATATCCTGGATCTATTCTTCACCAGCAATGAAGAACTGGTTGCTGATATTCGTGTTGAGGAGACCACACTGTCTGACCATCGACTAGTGGTGGTCAAGAAAACAATTGAGAGGGGAACCTCGAGAGGGGCTAGCTGGGCTAAATTTTCATCATCGAAGAAGAGACTGGGAGGCCATTGGGAACGAACTCCTCGAAATTGACTGGAGATCTGAATTCCTTGAATTAAACGCCGAAAATAAGTACAACAAACTATGCGAAGTATTACTGCAGGTATGCGAGCGTCACACGCCGGAAAAAACGACCCCCAAACGCCACATAATTCCGAGGGACAGACGGATCCTTATGAGAAAACGAGCGAGCTTGAACAACCAGATAACGGATGCCTCCGGGAATATTGAGAGGCAGAGGCTGAAACATCTAAAGGTTAAAATTAAGGAAACTGAACGACAGTTGCAGGACTCACACGAGGCCAAGCAACAAATTGCAGAGGTGCAAGCGGTGTCTGCCTTTCGAGAGAATTTCAAATATTTCTACAAATATGCCCGGTCAAAGGCCAAAATCAGAGCCTCAGTGGGGCCTCTGAAAAATAACGATGTCCTTGTTGGAGACGACAAGGGCATGTGCGAACTTCTGGGAGCTCAATTTGAAAAAGTATTCAGCGAACCCCAATACTCAAGGCAGGAGAACGAAATTGGAGTCATTCAAGAACTTCCAGGGGATCGGAAACTGACGAGCATTGAGTTTGAAACGCCGGATTCAGAGAGGAGTATCCAAGAATTATCTACGTATTCGGCTCCCGGGCCGGATGGGGTCCCTGCAGTATTACTGAAAAGATGTGTCGGTGCACTAAAGGACCCTCTGACTTTGCTCTGGAAAACACAATTGAGAGAAGGAAATGTCCCAAGTGACCTTAAATTAAGGCTAATTACCCCTATCTACAAAGGAGTTGCAAGAGACAAACCCCAAAATTACAGGCCGGTTACATTAACATCACACGTAATCAAAGTATTTGAGAAGGTTGGTGCAGTACATGGAAGACGCTGACCTTTTCAACAGAAGGCAACACGGTTTTAGACAAAATCGTTCCTGTTTGTCTCAGTTACTGGAGCATCACCACCAAATCCTGGCCATGCTGGAGGAGGGAGCCGGGGTGGACGTGGTGTATTGGGACTTCACGAAAGCGTTTGACAAAGTCGACCATGGAGTGCTCTTCAGAAAATTAAGACTGCGGGGAGTCGGAGGTGAATTGCTGGCATGGATCCACAGCTTCCTAACAGAAAGACTACAAGCTGTAGTTGTTGGAGGCTCGAGATCGAGCGTGGCTAGGGTGAAGAGTGGAGTACCACAGGGAACGGTACTCGGCCCAATCCTCTTCCTCATCCACATCGCCGACATAGATGTGGCAGTGAACCACGCCACTGCATCGTCATCCGCGGACGACACCAGGATATTAATGACCATCACGGACAGTGAGAGGTTGCAAGAAGACCTCTCTGCAATATATGACTGGGCCCTAGTGAACAACATGCAGTTCAACGGGACCAAGTTTGAGGTCCTGAGGTACAGAGGAACCCGAAGAGCTGGAATGGATCACCGCTGTCTGGCACCTGACAACTCGGAAATCGAAGAGAAGTGACTCGTTCGCGATCTAGGAGTGTTGATGAAAAATCAAGTCAATTTTGGTGATCACATACCGGCAATAACCGCAAATGGTAGACGACAAATGGGGTGGATGGCGGACGTTCAGAACGAGAAGCGGAACCAATGATCACACTCTTCAGAACCCTTGTAATACCTATCCTTGAATACTGCTGCCAGCTCTGGACTCCGTTCACACTAGGCGCAATACGGCAACTGGAAGGAGTCCAACGAACCTTTACTTCCAGGATCAGAGGGATGGAGAATTTTAACTACTGGGAGAGGTTACAGCAACTGAGTCTGTACTCACTGCAGAGGAGACGGGAGAGGTATGTCATTCTGTACACATGGGAAATTATAACCGGAATGGTGCCAAACTTCGAGAGCGAGACCTTCAGGATTCAGACATATCACAATGAGAGAAGGGGGAGACTGTGCAAGATCCCTCCCCTGCGTAACAGATCCGCAGTCAGATTTCAATCCTTGCGGGAAGGATCGCTTTCCTTGGCAGGGCCAAAGCTGTTCAACGCCCTACCAAGGGATCTAAGAGAGGGGGAGTTCACCTTGGAGACCTTCAAGAGACAACTAGACGTGCTCCTGAGCACAATCCCAGATCGACCTCCCCTGCAACACTACCAGTGGCGAGAAGCAAGCAACAGCATCGTGCATCATTTGGCCCAAATGAGGGCGGATGAACGATAATCAGAGGCGGCGATCCATCGTGGCCTGGGACTGCTATGTCCCAAACAAATACTAAGGATACTAAGGATAGTATAGTTGCCTATTCTGATGGATGCTGTTCTCTGCGAGGTAGTCTGCAAGTGTTTTAGTGAAGGATGGGTAGAGGTTGAGTTGGATTATTTCGTGTTGTAGTCCAGCGTGCCAAACCTTCTCGAAGGCTTTGGTCACCTCGCCGAGCACTATGTCGGTGGTGTATCTTTGTGCTGTTATTTTGACAAGTGTTTTGTGGAGTGTGGCTAGTGCTGTACCTGTCCCTCTGTGTTTCCTAAAGCCATGTCGTCTAGTGCTGTGTATGTTGTGGATGGTGAGGTGTTCATATAGTCTGTTAGTGAGTATATTGTCCAAAAGATTCTGATGTGTATATAATGATGAAATTGGTCTGTAGTTTTGTACTTGGTGTTGTAATGTGTTGGGTTTGGGGAGGGAGATCATGATGGCGTTATTAAGTGAGTCGGGAAGTAACCAGCAGAGATGGAGTAATTGAATATGTACAAAAGGTAGCACATCATGTTTTAATACTGTTCAGTTGCACAGTCTCACAACAAATTACTGAGTATAAAAGGATTCTAAATAGAACTAACCTGCCAAGTTATGATACTGGGAGCAGCAAGCAGCAGCTTAGTAATACACTCCAGTTGTTCTGTCTCACAAGAATTGGCTGCATTGCTGCCTGGCTGCACTTGTCCTTCACTGCTTGGAGAATGGTTAAGAACGGTAGTGAGGGATTGGTAAAAATTAATGTGAGCTCACATTTTGTCATGAGTGCTTTGTCATTAAAAATACATGTACTGATCATAGAGTGTGTAATGGATTTATAACTAAAGAAGCAATAAAGATAATCAATCAAAATTCTAATTAATTTAAACACAACAGGAAGCAATAATTATTTCTATTAGCTTTTATTTGCATGGCAGTACATGCTACATCTTTGCACAAAATTTGAGAAGTTTTAACCTAAATTATACATCAATGAAGTGGCCAAACAATAATGTATATATCCTACCATCAAATGCAACGGCCTTTTTTCAATTGTTAATGCTACAAGCAAAGAGCAAAACCCATTTGTGTTGCTTCTATCTACAAGAACCATGTTAATAAATAAATAACAGCAAATCCAAGTTAACTGCGTCATGATGTAGTGGACACGTCTAGCTAGCAAGACAAAGCTTGTGGCCGCCAAGGGTGGCATATTAAGAACTCTAAAGCTAGGCAAAGATCGAATGCTTGCCAGTCAACTCCTGCACATGCTTCAAATGAATGCAAGCAACAAGCTTTCAAGACTTTGAGCAATAATGCAAAGAATAATACAAATCAATACAGCTTGAATAATAATCTCAAACCAATAATGGATCTCAGTTGAGATGCTCTTTACAAACTAGTGTTTCCCAATACTGAACACTAGTTTACCCAATTCAACTACTAGCAACAGAATGATTGTTGAGCCTTCAAGAATGTTGTCAACTCTGTTTATATAGAATAATATATGAAGAAAAATATTCATGCCCAGCATCACAAAAAAAAAACAATAATTACACCAGGAGTTAATTTACCCTAAGTGAACCATGGAAATAATGAAATTTGTTATTGAAATTTACAAAAATGATGGGTTACATTTGATCCTATTTTGCTGATTAAAGCCAGACTGTTATTCAACCAAAAGCAAGCATGAGTAAAGAGAGCTGAAGTACCCTGAGTGCCTCTTGGTATTAGGTTGCCACACAGCACAATGTAGTGGCGTCTGTCGGAAGGCATTAGGCGTGTGGCAGTTGGCGCCATGGCGCAGCAACAGAGAGATGGCAGCGTCATTAGCATACCGCGCAGCCCAGTGTAGGGGAGTATACTGCTCAGTACAATAATGCTACACATGTCAAGTTATTCTATCAATATGAACTCTTTTCTCTCTTATACTGTATTATTGACACACTCTTATGATATGATGTAATTTATAGCAATATTTTCTTGATGGTAATGCAATCATATATTAAAATGCTGAATTCATAATTATCATGTAGATAAGCGCAAAACATTCAAGGATTACAAGCTTCTTGTTTTAATGTCATAACAATTATGTTAAAGAACTTTTAATTTATAATTAGTAACCACCATGCATTCCAAACATAGAAGAAAATGTATAAATAAATTAACATTAAAAACCACATTACAACCAAAACACAATGCAGCATATTTATTTGAAACGAGATATATGGTAAGTTAAATTTCTGTGCTAGTGATGGACTCGCCTCATTTTTATCACGTGGGTCGAGCTTGCCAGGCTCCAGATGCTTCAGGAGCATCACAAGACACTTAGTAGAGGAAGTAGTGGTGCTGAGATGCAGAGGTGTAACTTTGTTACTATCAGACCAAAGCGCTACTTGGGCAGCACTGATGCCTTGTGCTTCGCAGTAGTTCAATAGTATCTTTAGGCAGCCATCCAGAGCCTTAAAATGAGGATGAACAATTGTATCCAGATGAACAATAATGATGAACAAAATCATTATTCATATACATAATATTTGGTGACATTTGAAGCCAAGAAAACCAATAAGTCATTACAAATAACCAGAATTAAGGAACTTAGATTTTATCTCTGTCATGTACCTACACAATTTGAATGCAATTTCAAGGTAAGTTCTACTGTAGTTCAGAATGTGTATAATTCTCAAGGTATTAGCAAGAAACTTACCTTTGAAGCAGCGTGATGTACTGGCGTGCATCCATTTGCATCAGCCACTGTAAGTGAGGCTCCGTTTTTAAGGAGGAGCTCGAGAAGTTCCTTATTGCCTCCTATGACAGCAACAGACAGTGTACTCCTGCCATCAGGACCAACACCCATGGTTGCACAACCAACACTGCCTGCAAAATAGCTTAACAAGTTCCTTATTGCCTCCTATGACAGCAACAGACAAGGTACTCCTGCCATCAGGACCAACACCCATGGTTGCACAACCAACACTGCCTGCAAAATAATTCAACAAGTTCCTTATTGCCACCTATGACAGCAACATACAGTGTACTCCTGCCATCAGGGCCAACACTTGGGGTTAGATAAGCAGAAATAATATAAAGTGATCCATGTGATCCATATCACATATGAAATCATACAAAGAAAAAATTATTTCGGACAAAAATCTATTTCCTTATTAAATTATAGCATCACTACATTATCAAAAATGCATACATAAATCTAAAATTTAGTTTGAAATGCTCTAATTATAGTTATTCCTTGTTATTTAGTCACTCAATTGTGATAAATAATTTTTTTTCAAATTATTATGAGCAAGATTATATTTGTATTAAACAAAGTAACTGACTGATGATCTGCTGTGCCTGTTGTTTTTCACCAAGCTGCACAGCCAAATGAAGGGCAGTGCCAGTGTATGAGTGGTGCAATGGGTTCATCATCAGTTCATGCTTCAAAGATTCTGTTGACCAAAAAACGCAGTCAGAAGTTATCATAAGCCTAATAGCCTGAAAATGATGGTAATCTGAGACAATTATTCATAGAAGTGCCTTTCTAGATTCAAGAAAATCATGCAAGGCCAATATGTGCTACAGTATCTACTCCAATGCTCCACAATCAAGGAGTGAAAAATAGCACCACTAATATATACTTGAACCCATAAACAGTAAAACTAGTCTGCATTATGTAACATCAAAATTGATTTCACATTTAACATTTCCCCAAAATTGATTCAATTTGTTCAACAGTTTGCATAAATAGACAGGAACAAATTCAAAGTGACAACTTCAGTTAAGTTTGTAACTACAAAGAAACATGAGGTCAAAATTTATTTCTATGAGTCATTGCAAGACATGCTCTTGACTAACAGTTCAGGAAGTCACAAGTTGTGGTTCTAAGTTGTTCTCCAAGAATCCTCAGGTGCTGAAGAGTTTGTTGATAAAAGTAAGCAATAGTTACAATAGGCCACACGAATCTACAAGCAAGAAAAACTATATCTTTGAAGCCATTATAGTCAAATGGGGTAAGACAGGATCGCAGCCTTCATGGGGTAAGAAAGGACCAGCCCATGGCGTGCATTCTAATTGCACTGAATTTAATTTGACAAAAGTATATGTTAGAGCAATCATTGCCTGTCATTTCAGTGTTTGTTTCAACCCTCTTCTGCAAATAATGAATTTCTGGCTAATTTTTAAAGAAAACCTATGTAAAGAAGGGTCACAAAATAGTCAACCCTGCTTGGGAAATAAGCTCTGTCTAACAACAACAAAAATTTTGGCCAGGTTTGTGAATGTAGGCAGGTAACCTCAAGTAATAAGCAACTTTTGAGACATACTAGACATTCCTACCTGCTACCATCACTGCCTGACATGTATTATAAAATGGGGTAAAAAAGGACCGGACATGGGGTAAGACAGGACCACTAAATGATCCTGTTTTACCCCACAAACTTGGGGTAAGATGGGACCAGCTCACTTTTTTTAATCTGTACAGAAAACTGTGTTAGATGCAAAATGTCAGAGTTGTAGCTTAGAAGCCCATTGCATAGATACACCTTGTGATAGGTTTAGGATTTTTTAATTATTCATGGTATAGATGCTACGGGCTTGTTAGTGATTTCGGTCCTGTCTTACCCATCTGACTATATATATATTTAAAATAGGAGTTCAATGAATATATACTACCCTGACTGAATATGTGCACTCGGTGCAAATATTCTTTCAGGGCCTTCAATATTTCTTCCTATTTAACTACAACCCTCTCCTTTTACAAATGAAAACTTACTTGACAATTTACCAAAAAATTATCAAGTGTAACTCTGGCCGTAATTTCAGACCTCATGTCCGCAATTTATTAGGAAACATTTACTGTCAACACTTTTTATATACAGTGGGTGCAAAAAGTATCCAACAGACCAACACAAAGAAAAAACTTTATTTAATGAAAGCTTATTCAACAAAATAATATAAACAAACATTATTCTAATGTAAATTTACATGGAAAATACAAATATCATATCAAAACAATATCATTAAATGTTGACCTGCTAATTGCAATGTTGTAAGAGTGAAGGTTCAGAAAGTATCCAACATATCATAAAAAAATATGATTCACCAAGAATTTCTCATCCATTATGTTAGGGGGAATATTCTGGGATCAGAAAACATTGGAATATTCTAGAATGCAAAAGGACATCATAGACATCCCTCTAACTATAGTCATTAATCACCTGGCATCATCATTAGAAGGTGGCCTAAATTTTATGCTCTTCAACAATGCCTAAAACTGCAGAATTGTCTGAATCAACTAGAAAATTAATTATTCAGCTACACAGAGATGGTTTGGGATATGGAATTTTTTTTACATTATATATTCGACAGTTGGTGATCCTGTTCAGAGGTGGAAATCATTCAATCTATCGACTAATCTGACTTGTTCAAGGCATCCTACAAAAATTTCTGACCAGAAACTAAAACTTTAAGTTCAAAAAGTACAGAATAATCTTCAACGGACTTGCTCTGAACTGCGAAAAGACTTGCAATCAAGTCTGACAAATGTTAGCAAGAATACAGTTAGGACAGTTCTTTGAGAGAGAAAATTCCACTCTTTGGAACCAAGAAAAACCCTCTCTTGAAAGAATTCACTTAAAGAAACGCTAGAACTTTGCTGAAGAACACATGAGTAAACCTTCAAGCTTTTGGGATGAAATATTATAGTCAGATGAGAATAAAATTGAGTTGTTTGGTCAGAACTGTGTTAGTCGTGTTTGAAGACAGGAGAACTCTGAATTTCACCCAAAGAAAATCATCACAACAATAAAGTTTGGAGGTGGCAGCATAATTTTTGGAGTTTTTTTTCTTCTGCATTCCCTGGATAATTGGAAATAATAGAAGGTAGTATGAAATCCAAAATGTATCTGGGCATTCTTGAGAGATGACTTGTGAAGTTAGGCAAAAAATTGAACCTTTCCTGACGTCTACAGGATATTCTAACAAGACAATGATCCTAAGCACATGGCTAGAGCAACTCTTGCATGCTCTCAGGAGAGGGCCATTGAGTTATTGGAATGGCCAAGCCAATCACCTGAGCTCAATCCAATTGAAAATCTGTGGCAGGAAGTGAAATTGAGAGTACAGGAGAGAGATCTAAGAAATCCTATCCAATTGAAAGAAATATGCATGGAAAAGTGGGCTAAAATTTCTACTAGCATGTTTGTTAATCTTGTGAACAAGTATTCCAATTGCTTAGAAGCAGTTTTGGCTGCTATTAGTCAGTCACATGATAAAGTATTGAGTAAATTTATTTTATAGGTGTTGGATACTTTTTGGAACCTCAACTTTTACAAAATTGCAATTATCAAATCAAAATTTAATGATATGTTGTTTTGATATGATATTTGTATTTCCTATGCAAATTTACATTAGAACAGTGTTTGTTTATGTCATTTTGTTGAAGAAGATTTACATAAAGTTTTTCCTTTGCATCAGATACATTTTGCACCCACTGTAAACCAGTATAATACATTTTTTAGATTCAGTTCTAATTGGTCCATGAGTTTTCTGCTTAGAACTGAATTATTCTTGTTCCAATTGCATTTATAAATCATAAAAATTTATTATGTTAATTTTTGCACAAGATTCCAATAGTTATTAAAACCATCCTTTGCATTTCATTTTTTTCCAACTTCAGTCATGGCATCTCAGTGCCTTATTGAGATACTGCTAACTTTGTGGTGAAGGAGCAAAATTTCTTCCTGAGGATTTGAGGATTTAGCACAGCTACCACAATGGAAGCTGAGTCATGTTGCATGGAGTTTAGAGTTGAAAATAGATCAAAATGGCCTTATCTGCACTGGAAAATTGACAACAAACATGTGCATAACCTGGAAAAATAAATTTCTCTGGCTTAATCAAGTACAGTAGCTACAAGATTTGTACACAATACAAAAAAAAAACTCATAGGACAAAGGTAGTACGGTATAGTTGTAACTAGAACCTTGAATATGTACATATCAATAGATATAAAAAAATACCGGTACTTACCAGGATTAAACATTTTATATTTGTTCTCACTATAGTCAACAGCAAAACTTTCAGTTTCCTTCAAAATAAGAGACATGGTCTAGTTTTATTAATCCATTGCAGTATTCTTAATTAGTGTAAGAGCAGAAACCAAGCTTTATTGCTACATGTATTTTTTCTGACAAGCTGAAAGTAAAATTTTCAAACAGGATGATGCAAATTTCAGGATATTTGAAAAAAACTTTTCACATTCAAATTAAGATCAATAAAAATAAGGAAAACATTCCTCAGCTAACTGACTAGGGGCTAATTTCCTAATTCAACTCAACCATCTTAACTTCTTGTGCTGTAGAGTAATTATTGTTCAAATTTTCTTTCTTTGTGCTCTTTTCACTTGGGTATTCACAAAATTACACTTCTAAACTCCATTGATGACATAAGTAGTAATTCTAATACACAGCTATTGAAGTTGACAACTACTAAAATTTTATTTCCCCAAATAAAATTGCTACAAGTTGAGTTGGTGAATTTTGATTTGATTTGCACCCTTCAGTTATAAATGGTCCTGTTATTAAAATAAATTAATTATGCATACAATGTAAATTACACAAATCAACTTTGCTTGTGCTTCCACTTGTTTCTCAAAATTTCTTACTATTATTCTGAGTTTCACAGTCATTAACCATCATTCTCTGATACCTATAGGGCCATCAGCATTCAGCATTCAGTAAATTACTTGGTCCCTAATTTGTACCTATATCATCAAAACCAACCAATATTCTCCATTCTTATAGCCCTACACATTGTCATATGGAGAGAGATTAAAAGACTTGAAATTGGCAAAAGTATTGAAATAAACCTGAATAATGTCTTCCTAATTGGAATAGAGCAAAAATGACTATCTTTCATCTAAAAGTTTGAGAGGAGTATTGAAATTTAATGTTGCAACACCCTTTATGCTTGTAGTACCGTCAAACGGGGTAAATCGGGATGCGCATCCCACATTTTGTAGAAATGTTGTAGCAGCGTAACTAATCAAAATATTGCAAAACTAAAAATAGTGGCATAAACTGCAACATTTTTACTATCTATTATGTATAAAGCTAGTCAAGAAATCAAACATTTACTATCTCTAAAAAATCGCTGAAAAAAAGTGTGAAAAGTGCGATTTTGGAAAAGTACCTCTGCCAAGGTGTGGAGCAAGAAAAATATTTGCCGTATTAAAAAAATTTTACTTACATAAAAGTTGCACCCAGGTGTCAGCTTGAAAAAATAATTGACAGAATTTGCCTATCTCATTAAAAAAAATGGCAGCCATTTCCGCATGGTGAGGCTACTAGGGACACCCCCCTGGGAAAATTAGGGACATCCTTAAAATGCATTTACAGTAGAACCTCAGTTAGCAAAGGTTCCAGTTAACAAAAATATTGATTAACAACAAAGAATTTTGATTACATTTACATTGCTCAGCAAAAAAATTCACTTATCAAAAAATTAGTGCATCATCGATTGTCACAAAATTGTACATAGAATGCTATATATAGAATTGTGCACTGGGCCTCATAGAATGAAAAGTAATTGACCTAAACTATGATTTATCTCTCCAAAACATATGATGGTTGTCACTAAAACATTATTATTGGTTTCAGGTATGTTTTTCACAATCTTTTTTGCTATAGTGAAATCACTTGACTCAATTAAAATTATGCAAAATTACAAACCATCCTGTAAGCTTACAGATACAGAAGAAATGTTAAATATCTGCTGATATGAAGCTTGCAGTGGACAAAGTCATTGTCAATGCTCAATGGCATGTCCATGGAGACAGTAATATCACATTAATAATACGGTAATTAATGAATATGGTAATATAATATCAATAAAGGAAAAACAAGTAAAAATCACAGAAAATGTCATTTATTTTACATCTACATCATCTAAAATGAAAGGAGGACTTTAAAGTACTGTTAGTAATGGATGAGTACACTCTGCATGCTCCAAACGTTTTAAAATTAACTTTCATTGCAAGTGTCCGGGATTACCCCATTTCCAGGGGTAAATCGGGACGGTTTTATTTTGCGTCTGGCACCTTACGAATAGCATATGGGATTTTTTTGAAGATACCATTGGATAGCCCTCTTAAAGAGCTATAAAATGAGCCTAAACTTGTTTCTGAAATGTTTCATGGTAAGAAGTTATTAACAAAAAACGCTCAAAACCGTCCCTTTCTACCCTGTTTGACAGTACATACATTCAAAAGACACTGGTTGCCTTTTGCATCAGATCTGAACACCAAATAGAAAAAAAATTTCTTCTGCTACCACCAACCCAGTAAAGCTTGCTATTAGCACCAACTGAAACTCATCTGCTAGGAATGGACAGGACTATAGACTTTCACTGTTGTAATAAAGAACTAAAGTGTCACATCACAGCAGATGTAATGTGGTCAGGCTCCAATGAGTGTTGTCAACTTGTCAGTTCCTATGTAATAGCCAGTACGATTGAGCTGCTGTTCTATGATGCAAGTGCAATGTTCCGTTCTGTTCAAAATCTAAGTTCACTATTAAATATTACTTCTGTTACTATTATGTTCTAGTGTTCTGTATTCCATTTATTAGGATTTTCCATTAGTTGTTATTCTTCCAGGCAACTGGGCATTTGTGGCATAAAGCTTTAATTGCCCAAGTTTATTTGATGCAAAATTCATCATGGGAATTTGAGAATTCATGCTATTCGTCAGTAGTTCTTCACTTATTGAACTACTCAACCCATAATGGTTTTATCTGGCACAGACTATCATGCACACACTAAAAATGGCTCAGGTGGTGAACAAGAGAGCCACTGGAAGAGAAGGCATGTTGGGTAGCCACAGTGGCCGCCACCTCCATGAAATTGTCAAACAGATTTTTTTTCTGCTAGATGAATTATAACCTATTTAATTGTTGACAAAAAGGCAAGATAATGCCAGTATATTATAAACTTAACAAAAAATGTCGCTTTGGAGCTGCAAGATTTCAGTATTGCAAAGATTTTTTCCAATCTTGGGTCTCTCCACATTGGCAGCTTTGTCCAAAGCAGGCTCAGTAGCAGCTTCTATCTTGACCTTACATTTCAACAGGCTGGGAAGGCTTATGAGTGAAACCCACTGTCATAGTGAGCACTGTCATTGACTGCCTTGACTTTGCAGCTTTGACACATAAATTAATTAAAAAAAGGTGCAATCAGTGTCTTGATTTGGTATCAAATGACCCAGATGAATGGCTAGTTTTTTTAACATTTTTTACACCTTATTGCCCAGATCTTACGTTAAGGGAATGCATAGGAAAACAACCTTCAAAATCTTGTTAGAAGTTTCAAGAGCATTACTTACAGTCAAATGGGGTAATAAGGGATACTTTTTTTATTTTTGTTGATAACTTCTCACCATGAGGCATTTTATAAACAAGTTTAGGCTCATTGTAAAGGTCTTTGTGAGGGCTATTGTATGGCATCTCCAAAAATTTGTTATATGCTATTTGTAAGGTGCCAAAAGCAAAAAAAAGGATACCAAATGACCCCATGGAATGTGATAGTACAGGACACTTGAAATGAAACTCAATTTTAAAACGTTTGAAGCAGGCAGAGTGTACTCATCCAGTAATAGCAGTACCTACTCCAAAGTCCTCCTCTCCATTTGTAGTGAAGATGACTCTTCTGCTTTTATCGGTTGGCTCCTAAGTATCTTTCTTAGCATCCACTGTATATGGCAAAACAAAGTGCTATCCAGTGTGAAGTTGATGCTATGCCTGCTCCTGGTCATAGTTCTGTTGAGTGTAGTTCTAGTAGTTCAACAGAAGGTGATGAGTCAGGGAGTAACGATCCAGTGGGTGATGAGTCTGCCAGCAATGAATCGTTGAGTGCAGTACAGCATGAAGTCTCTATTGCAAGTCATGCTTTTCATTCTGGTAATTTCAGTATTTCGTCTGGTAGTAAGTCTGAGTCGTTCCATGGGTTTCATGATGCACCAGCTGAGGGGGAGCTGGAGTTGCCATTGACGAGTACATCGTTGGGTGGTTCTAGACTGAGTTTGCCTGGTCGTTCAAGTTCATCCAAGCATTCCCTTGTTGGCTTATGTAAAGGTTGTCATTTCGAAACTCGTATTGACAGTGAATGTAATAGCAGTACAAATTTTTATGTAACTAGCGAAATGGAGTCTGATGTACCTGTAAGTTGTGATGTTGCAACTCAATCAATACTAAATTCATTGTTGGACCAAACATTGTCATCATCAATTTCTGATGGTTTTCTCAAAAAATTTACTATATCTGCCGCTGATTTAGAGGAAGATTGGGAGTTGTCCTCATTAGATTCCCAGTTTATGGTAGATGAATCGCAGGAAGAAACTGATGTTGAATGTTCTCTGTCACCTCGTACCTTAACAGCAGTTTTGGAAACTGCTTCCCAGGAAGTCATTGCTGATCATGCATCTTGCCACTAGTAGTAGTGAAGCTAGAAATTTTGATCATGCAACAGCTATAGGGGGTGATGAGGAATTACATGGGTTCCCGGCATTTGAGGAATCAGCGAGAAAGTTGGCACAGTTGATGTCAGTAGTTGAGACTTGCGTTGACAGTAAGCCTGATGGCAGGAATGATCTAAGAAAGAGAAAACTGACAAATGTTCCCATTCACTCAATTCTAACTCAATCGAGAGGACCAGTATCTGCTGAGGATATATTCATGTAATCAGTATTGACGTTGTAGAGTAATGCATATTTGCTATCTTATGAAGTTAATATTCGGTCTTGTATTGTTATTGTTGCGTGTTGTACATATTTTGCCAATGATTATGTATTTTATTCTATGCAAATTTTATTCCATTATTCAAGTTTAATTGATACTTTAATATGTAAATATATTTTTGTAATAAAGTTTGCCTTACACAGACCTTGGTCTTGTGGGGGGGGGGGTATGTTACCAGGGGTAATCTTAGGGCAGACCAAGCTCATGTGTTTCAGCTCACAATTGTCTATCATTCCACAAAATATTTAGGTCTGCAGTTTAGTACCATGCTCTCGTCATACTCCTATATATATTAAACTGTGACAGCAGCAAGAACGTTATGTCAAAGATGAAGATCTTGATCTCGCCTCTCAGACTTTTGTAAAACCGTGTTATATTTTTGCAAGATCATAAGGTAGGC